GGCGGCATGGATCCGTCGTACGTTTGGGATGTCGTACTTGCGGCCGCGTAGCCGGTTTGCGAGGGGCTGCGCTGCAGGTAGTTGGCATGAGGTGACGTGTGCGGCCGCGCCGGCGGCACCTCCGCGACGCCTGGCGACCCCGGCCGTACATGCGGGTGCGGCGGCGGCATGTCGTCGATGAGGATGGCCTTGAAGCTCCCACTGCCGCCGCCGCCGTGCTGCAGCAAATGGGAAGGCGACAGAGGCGGCGCTGAGCCGTCTCCCGGCCCAGCGCTCACGTTGCTGTCGTGACTGCTGCTGCTGCAATTCCCGGGACTGCCCCCGGGCAACGTGTCCCAGGACAGCGGTGTCCGCGGCGACTGCGGCCCTCCGCCCTCTCCAAAGCCCCCGGATAAGGCCTTATGCGGCGCCGTTGCTGATGGCCGCAGCGGCGGTGCCGCCGCCCCAATCCCGTCTGCCTCCTCGTGCCGCCGCGGCGCCGCCTTCACGGCAGCAACGGCCGCATTCGCCGCCACCAGCTGCGTCTGCAGCTGCTGGTGCGCCTCCGCCAGCTGTTGGTACCGCTGGCCCAGCTCCGCCGCCGTGCGCTGCTGCGCCGTCAGCTGGGCTTCCGTCGCCGCCAGCTGCTGCTGCAGCACCGCCATGGCTGCCATGTGCGTCTCGTGCTGCTGCGCTGCCCGCTGCTGCGCCTCGTTGGCCGCCTCCGCCAGCTGCTGTTCCAAGGTCCTGGTGGGGGCCGCAGGAGGGAGGTTGCAGGAAGCAGCAGGATATCCACAATAAGGGGGGGTATACGGGCAGGCGGCAGGGAGGGTGTTGAGAGCCATGCAGAAATGCGGACATCGCCCCGGCCGGCGATGGGTGCAGGATGTAGAGGTGCAGCGGGGTGTCGTAAAAGTAATCGGTGTAGTAATCGTGGAGGCGTCCGGACCCGGGGGCGCTCCAGGGAGCCCACGCGGTTCGTTGGAGACCCTGCGTCACCGGGGATGTGCGCCACTGCGCGAAATCTAGATGTAAAGATTTGCATATTTTTTCACAAAGTGCTTGTGGCCCGGAACGTTTCCGACTAGCGGCAAAAAGCGCTTACCTTTGGGCGGAATCACTTTGCCGGCCCAATTCCACAACGATGAACACAGCAATACAGCAATCAACAGTTGATGATTACCAATTATTTGTAGTTTACGGGTAGGTAATTGGAATCAGGCGATGACTTGCAATAGCTTCGCGATTGAAGGCGGTTGTGCGCACAGTTGAAGAATTGCTTCTTTACAAATGTTTGGGTCCCATCCTTGGTTGAAATGCACTGCTGAACAGGAAGTTGCAGCACAAATCCTTTCAGGCATTTTGCTCGCTAATTTGGGATGCTGAGGAAAAGCGCTCTTTAGAACCCTATGATACGACAACCCGGTACGGCAGTTCCTCGTCCAAGCACCCCAGAGTCTAGGTGACCCTAGTTGTACAGTGCCAAAGGTCTCAGGGGCCAAGGCAAAAACAAATCTATCCCTTCACGGCCGTCACTTCCGTTATTGATCTGTTTTGTTGATCTATTCGGTGTTGAAGGGTGCTGAGGGCCTTTCCTTCCTGCCTGAGCGCTAAGTCTATGGCATCGGCTTTGGGCCGCGAGCGGAGGAAGGGGAGGAGAGGTGCTATGTTTTCGTCCATGTTGTAAGAAGGCAGGCAGGCAGGCAGGCATGCAGGGCGCCATGAGGGCCCACACACCCCCGAAAAGGGTCTGCACACCCCGGAAGAGAGGGCCCACACGCTGCCTCCGTGAGGAGATCATGATACCCAACACTGCCTGAACCCACCGTATCCCGTGGCCCTACCGCATCCTGCATCGCCCCAGGCCGCCTCTTCCTCCTCCTGCTCCTCCCCTTTCACTCCCTCCGTCCCCAACCTCACTCACTTGTTGTTTCTTTGAAGTATCGCCAGCTTTTCACGGAGCGACAACGTCGGGGCGCCAGCCGCGTGGCCGCCGGCTGTGGAGTATGTCCACAGACAAACATACATATGTACACGCGGGAGGCAGATGTGGGTATGCGGCTGTCAGTGGATAAGGATGTGGATGCGGATGTCCCATTGTGCCCCAGATTCCATGCAATCGGGAAGTACCCACCCGGGCGGCCCCTTTTTTCCTTCATTCTTCCATATTTTTTCAACAAAACCTTCACAAGCATCGCAAAATCGCCAGAGTCGGGCCAGGGTCACGTTGCCATGCTCACGTGATCCTGCCCATACCTATTCTATGTCCGGATGCTGAGCAAGACAGTGATATCGCGCACGTCAACAAAACGGCCAAGCAAAAGGGGTGTACCCCTGGGGACCGCCATCTCCCGGCCTTCCCGGGGGACGTCGCCATCCCCCAGTGCGCAGTACAGCCCGATGGGCAACATGGTACCGTTGCCCTTTTTAGGATGTGTCATAGGAACGGCCCCCCTCCCTCTCTCCGCCTCCCCCCCTCCCCCCTCCCTTCCCCTTCCCTCCCCGATGGACCGCGCATGTTGTCGGCTCCTCCAGCCCCACCCACCCACCCGCCCTGTGCGGCCCCCCACCACATCCTTTCCCTCCGCTGCGCTGCTTACCGTCCTCCGATAGACGGTTTCGGAGGACCTTGCTGCCGGAGCCGGAGACTGTCGTGCTGGTAGTGGAGCCGCAGCCGTTGGAGACGTTGGTTTCGGAGCTTTTTGGCCGTAGGGCCTTGGCGGGGGCTCCCGCCACAACTGCCCCGTCTAGGGAGGCGTGTACGGGCTGGCCGTTAAAGGCGGCAAGGATGTTGCTGGAAGGGCTGGTGTTGGGCCGAACGGAGACGGAAGAGGATGTGGAGGTGGAGCTGAGCTGGCGGCCCAGAGATCCTCCAATAGAGTTGACCACGAGGGCCTGGCTGTTGAGACTGCTAGGCGGGTTTTCGCTGCCGCTGCGGCGTCTGTTGGGTTCAGGGAGGCTGGAGGAGGGGGAGGGCACGCTGACGCTGAGGTCGCTGTCGGAGCCAGAGCTTGCATGGTTAAATCGCCGGGCGCGAAACGCCATTGGCGACTTCGCGGAGCCGGGCGCACTAGAAGTGACTGGCGGGCTGGGCTCGGTGCTAGGGGGTCGCGGCGTGACGACGTGCATGCTGTTGCGGAGCATGGAGTTAAGACCCCAACCGCCGCTTCCTTCTCCGCTCAAAGCGCCGTCGGCCGGGGACGGGGCCGACTGCCGCAGCGGCGAGTTCTTCCCGGAGCTGAGTGGTCTGTTCATAAGTGCATTGTATGGAGAACGCGACATCCGCCAAGCGTGTGCTGACCCTCGCTTCGCTGTGCGGAGCAGGATGTGCTCCTCGAGTGCGCAGCCCGCTGTGATTAATGAAAGCTGAGACCATGAGATTAAGAGGCCATTGATTTCAAGCCAGGAAAATGAACTTTGTAGAGAGAACGTTTCAAACGTTCCCTAAGCATTTCGCCAAGTGAACGCAACCCAAAAAGAGCAAAGCTAGGATTCAATTCGGAAATACGATGAGTGCTTCGCAGATGCACCGCAGGTAAACTACAAGCCACGAAGCCCCTTCGAGCAAGTCCTGTGGTCCAAGCGTTGATGATTAAGTGGCCGATGGAACGCAGGTTGGAGGAGGATATAGTTACCATCACTTACACAAGCTTAGCACGAATGCGAGCTCCAAGGCAAGTTCGTTTTCACCACGCCACCGCCGTACGTGTTGTGTGCAGGTGTTGTCACAGCCTTGCCATATGTCCTCAGTTTGTGTCCTAGGGATTACGTTTACCCCAAACCTAGCGTTCTGCTGAACTTGGACACCAAACATACCTTCCGGGAGGTGTTCGAGAATGAACTGAATCAGCGGCTGTGCCTCTATGGCTGTTAGGCGCATAGCGCGCTTGCTTGGACCCTTACTTGACTTTCAGCCATCAGCAACAGGAATCAAAGGACTTACAGCGTCAGCCGCAGCGCTTGCAGGCTCGGCGGGCGCCTTAGTACCCACTGCTCTCGGACAGCACAAGGCGTGGCTTAGCCAGGCGGCTCTTCAACATGCCCCAGCACTTCATACATATACAGTTACGATTACAACGGGTAACCTAAGGGGCGCCGGATCGTTAGCCCCTGCTTGGTTGCAACTGGTGGGCAGTCACGGGAAGTCAGAACGGATTATCGTGGGCGAAACCGAGGAGGACCGTCTCGCTCGCGGAAGCGTCAGAACGGTGTCTGTTAGTGCTCCAGAAGACCTCGGCCAGGTCCGCTTCGTGAACGTGCAGCGCCTGGGGAGCAGCATTAGCGATGCAGGCACCGGCTGGTAAGTTCGAGCTTTGGTGTCCACACCAGAAAACAGAGCTTCTTGTATCGGCGCCAGCCAAACTATCCACTGCTGGCCAGTCCGTCCGGAACCTTTTTCCCGCCCGATAACCCTAGCTGCACCTAGGAACCCAATCTCCGAAATCTCCCTAGCGGCTGCCGTCCACACAGTGCCAAGACTTCAGAGCCCCTTAGTTGTAGCCTTGCAGCTTGAAAGGAAGATACAGGAAAAATCCGCGCGATGGCACCAGGTTGACCCAGCCCGGGTTCCGGTTCCCTTCAGGCGGGTAGCAGGTCCTGGGGTCGGAGCCTGCTCCAGGAAGGCACGCAGTGTCTGTATCCCTGTGTCGGCTCCTGCTGCCACGGTGCCCAGTGCACAGATAGGACACTCTATTCCGGCCGCGCCACTACTAGCAAAAGGGGGGCCAGCGTGATGCCTCTTTCTTGCACAGCGCAGCACGGGCCGGGCCGGGCCAGGGCGAGGGGGGGGGCCGTTGGGGGAAGGACAGTGCTTTTATGGCTGGAGGCGCCGGTTGTGGGCTCCCTCCCACAACAGGAGTTTACCTTTCTGTCTGTCTGTCTGTCCGTTTGTTGGATAGGCACAGCCTGCCTCTTGAGCCACCCGGGTAGATGCGTCCTCAACAATCAGGAGATGCCTCCGCGGACGCCCCTCCCTTTCCCCCTGCCATGCACCCCAACCGCCAGCAGTGTCCCAACACCATATGGTCAGCACCACCACAGTCACCACGAACATTCTCAAGGGGTGCACCGCCGGGCCCCCATGCCGTCGCTCCGCTATAATTGTTATCCGTCCCCTATCCTTATCGCGCGCATGCAGGTTTTTGGAGCACGTTGTCGTGCAGACGCCAGAACGCCACAGACTCTACTTCCCTTGCCATTCCTGGTTCGGTGAAGCCGATTGCGGCGGGCGCCGGGGACCGTTGGAGCGTAACCTCTTGCCCGTGGCGCCGGAGGATGACTTGGCGGCGCAGCCTGTACGGCTCACTGTGTCGGGTGTTGCCGTACCGCACCCCGACAAGGTGAAGCAGGACGGCGCCAAGGGCGTGAACCGCAAAGGATTTGGGCACGGCGGCGAGGACGCGTATTTCTACTGTGTGGGGCAGAACAACGCCGTGTTGGGGATGGGTGTGGCGGATGGCGTGTATATGTGGCGCGAGCGCGGCATCGATTCGGGTGACTTCTCCCGCGCATTGATGCGGTTGGCGAGGGACAGCGTGATGGCGGGGAACGTGGACGTGGTGCGTGTGATGCAGGACGCCGTGAGCGGCGCGCTGGCGGCTGGGGTGCAGGGCTCCAGCACTGCCTGCATCGTGTTGGTGAATCAGGACACGGGACAGCTGTTCGCCGCCAACCTGGGGGACAGCGGCTGCCTGTTGCTGCGGCCCGCGGCCAACGATGACCCCCACGCGCACGCGCAAGTTCGGACGCCCCCACAGCCGCATTCTGCAGCGGTGCCGGCGGCGGCGGCGGCAACAGCAGCAGCTGCCGGCGGTGCCGCCGTCCCCCACTACTTCGTCAAGTTCCGAACCAACCAGCTTGAACATGATTTTGGACGGCCGTACCAGCTTGGACATCACCCGGCGGCTGACTCGGTGGAGATGTGCCACGTCGCGACGCAGTCTGTACGGCCGGGTGACGTACTCGTCCTGGGCACGGACGGGTTGTACGATAACTTGTCGGACGTGGAGATTGCTGACGAGGTGGGGGCGTGCCGGGCGCGTGGGCTTGGGTCGATGGTCATCGCGCAGCGTCTGGCGCGGCTGGCGTTCGAAGCTTCATACGACAAGTACCGGAGCACGCCGTACGCAGCTTCTGCTTCAGAGCACTTTGACATGGTGTACAGCGGTGGCAAGCCGGACGATATCACCGTTCTCTGTGCGGTTGCGGTGTGAGCGCTAGTGGACCGCACATCGGTGGGGTGGCCCTCAAGAAACTGGCCCAGCCGTAGGGCAGGGAGTGCAGTGGCCGGTGCTGTGCGTAATGATGCAACCTGCCCCCTGCAGCAAATCATCCACTCCGGGGAGACATGGCCGTGGTGACAAACAGCACGGAGGGGGTTCGCGCGGGCGGCCTGGCCCTGCTTGTCGGTGGGTTGGGGAGCTGCTGATGGCGGTGTTGACAAACATGGGTAGGATGTTGGTTTGTACATGCTGTGATGCGCGCTGTCAGGGTGGGGAGTCCCGAGTGATCACGCGGCTCGTTTTTGCTGTGCCAGCGAACTGCACAGGTGCGACAGACCTTGTCGATCGGCGGGAGGGTCGTGCAGCGTGCGGGGCAGTCCGGATGATGAATTGCTCGTGGGTCGCTCCCCCCTCCCCCACGACCACTAAATCGGTCAGTCGTTGTCTTGCGACAGGTCGGCAAGGACTGGTTGGTGACTGGATCCTGGATCCAATATTTGAAATCCTGGATCGAGCCTATGGATCCACGGGCCCCAAGCCCTGGATCTTGGGGTTTAAATTTTTTAACTGCCTGCCTGACACGGGTTGCCGCCAAACTGTGTGAACAGACACACATAACACAGAAACTAATCGGCCCAGACATAGACGCAGCGTCAGAAGTAAGATCTCTGGGTCTGCTTGCGGTCTGGAGAGTGTGTTAGGGGAAGGCTGGAAGAGGTTGTGTGTACCAGCTGAAGATTGGGGAAAGCTGAAAAGGAAACTGAATTTGCAGTAAATCGGCGGCATGTGAGCAGGAGGATGAAGGAGGGGCCGCACGTGGGTGTGGAGTGATAGATTTCGATGAAGTGCCCCAGAGAGGCCAGGCGCACGGTACTTCGCTGCATAGTGTGTGGACGGGAACGAGGAGCATGGGTTTTGTTGTCTCGTCGTCGCCAGGGGTGTTAAACACCCCAGTGGCAAATGCATTTGTGCCGCGGCACGTGTTGTTTGAGTGCTGCTCGAGTGGACTATGAGGGTAGTATTCTTGACCGTGTCACTCCTCGGCCCTGAGCTGGGGCGAAAAGGGCCGGAATCCCTAATGTGTATACATTTCATTGTAGAGGTATGTTTCTGCCGCTGCAGCCGATGGAGAGCAGGACGGCGTGCCCTGAGCTGACGAACGGACAGACAGACAGACAGATAGGCGTACTGACGATGGACGCGGCCGCACGTGACATGTGCAGGGAGCTACGCAGGGCTAGGTGGAAAGGGGTGATGAAGCGTGAGATGTAAGTAGGCGTTTAGCTCCCACTCTCACGTTAGCAGACGCCCGTACATGGGTTAGGAGTGGGGGTGGGGGGTGGCAGTCTTGTTGGGCTGGCGATGGCGAGGGTGCCCAACAGGTGCGAAGCAGCGAGAGAGGGACAAGGATGGAGTGAGGAGGTGGTACAAGCACCTGATCGCGTAGACGCAATGTCCGAGCAGCTGTAAGAGCGTCGGATGGTCATCGTCCTGTAGACACGACGCGTGAGAACGCTCAAATGGTAAGGAGAAGCTCCGGGCCTTATCTCGCAACAGCAGGATCTACATGTGTTCCATTGTCGGAATTCTTCTAGGCGGGGGCAAGAGGGCGGCGGCCGGCGGGGCAGGGGGCAGGTCCCCAAAGCGCCCTCCGTGGGATGGAAGCCGCGTAGGGCAACGCCGTGAGGTCTTCAGCCGCGGTTGAGGTGCAGATGGAACGGGCAGGTGTTATAGCCCCGGTGGCCAGAAGCTAGGAGACGCAGAGGGACACCTGCAACAGCATAAAGCAGCATAAAGCAGAAGCCCTCAGTAGATACGTTAGGTGCTAAATGCGGTGTGGGAAAAAGAGCATGCGTGGTTCAAAACCTTTCCCAGCATGTAAAACTTCAATCTGCTCCGTCTGCCCCAGCTATCGATACGTAAAATGTGGGGGAGTCCACCGTGCATCCCTCCATCCACACATCCATCCCTCCATCCCCCCCTCTATACATACCCTTCCTCCATGCATCCCTCCATTCCCCCTTCCATTCCTCCCTCCATACACCCACCGGCCAGGACCACAAAAGGCGCCTCACACACACACGCGCGCACACACACATTCGCACACACACACACACACACACACACACACACACACACACACACACACACACACACGCACACACACGCACACACACACACACACCCCGGTCCTTGCCTCGAAGAAATGCCGCTGCGGTGGGTCGTTCCCCCGGCTCCCGGAGCTCCCTCTTGCCGCTGCCCGGCGGACGCACGACGAGGCTGACGGCCGCCCTCGGGCTTCACCTTCCTGCACACGCGCCTCACACGGCCGCCGTCACGGCAGGGCATGTACACGCGCGCACTCAGCCACCTCCAACTCCTTTCCAGCTCAATTCAGTCCCTCAACCCCAAGTCAGTCACACACGCTCGCTGCAGTGCTCGGCGCCACTTTAGCTTCGTAAGAAAATAGCTACCAAGTGACCTTCATTCGTGCAGCGAGACCTTTCGTTTCAGCCCTGCGCGCACAGAAAAGTAAAAGGAGGTCTCCACCCGCCGTCTGAGTGGTCAGAGCGGTCAGGCCCGCCGCGCGCCAGGCACCTACAGAGCCGGGTCACAAGTCCAGTCTACAACACGCAGTACAACTGAAACTCCAACACGCACTACAGTCGCAACGCGCCCGTACCTCATAGCGCATAAGGCATAGGGCACAATGCGACAAAACGGAACAGAGAATGACGGTCGTCGGGCGCCTGAAAACGTCAAATATGCCATAGCTAAGAAACTAAGCGGAGGGGTATATTGGTAGTAGTACGACTCCCCCACGTGCACGTGGGGGCTTATGGATAGCAGCCACACATCGGCGCCTGCGCCGTGCCGGAAACCTATTTCAGTAGGCAGCTCTGTACGGATAACTATTCGTACGGGAAGTGCCTAAGCAGGTGTAAGAAAAACTGCCGTGAATATGAAGAGGGGATCGCAAAGAACATGAGGCACCCACACCCCCATCTGGTTTCTGCAATCTGCTACGTGTCCTTGTACGACACGTTCTTAGAAATACACGTCAGCATCAGGACGGCTGCTCCGCACCAGTCGCTGTACGGTCCTCTCCTCCTCTCCCTTTTTCCAGGTTACTTCAGCAGCCTTTCCCGAATGGGTTCAGCTGCCCCTCGCTTCCCAGTTCCCCCTAGGGAATGCCCTCTCCAGTGCACCAGTGCCAGGCCCTGCTCCCCACTGGCTAGGCTAGCTGGCGCCCTTGACAGCGTGACATGAAATGAAACAAATTAGGGACATAGGTAAACATGCCCACAGGCTGCTATATCCCTCAGCACTGCTCACGGAATGCTCACGGAATCCGCACGGGGGAGCGGAATCGCACCGCCTGATGGCGCCTGGACATCACCATCATCACGACGACATCAGAAATGCATTGGCACATTGCAGCCACGAACCTGAGTAGACCGGCAGTCTACCAGACTGGGGAAAGCTAGCTCTAGCTCTAGCTCTAGCTCTAGCTCTAGCTCTAGCACTAGCACTAGCTCTAGCTCTAGCTCTAGCTCTAGCTCTAGCTCTAGCTCTAGCTCTAGCTCTAGCTCTAGCTCTAGCTCTAGCTCTAGCTCTAGCTCTAGCTCTAGCTCTAGCTCTAGCTCTAGCTCTAGCTCTAGCTCTAGCTCTAGCTCTAGCTCTAGCTCTAGCTCTAGCTCTAGCTCTAGCTCTAGCTCTAGCTCTAGCTCTAGCTCTAGCTCTAGCTCTAGCTCTAGCTCTAGCTCTAGCTCTAGCTCTAGCTCTAGCTCTAGCTCTAGCTCTAGCTCTAGCTCTAGCTCTAGCTCTAGCTCTAGCTCTAGCTCTAGCTCTAGCTCTAGCTCTAGCTCTAGCTCTAGCTCTAGCTCTAGCTCTAGCTCTAGCTCTAGCTCTAGCTCTAGCTCTAGCTCTAGCTCTAGCTCTAGCTCTAGCTCTAGCTCTAGCTCTAGCTCTAGCTCTAGCTCTAGCTCTAGCTCTAGCTCTAGCTCTAGCTCTAGCTCTAGCTCTAGCTCTAGCTCTAGCTCTAGCTCTAGCTCTAGCTCTAGCTCTAGCACTAGCTCTAGCTCTAGCTCTAGCTCTAGCTCTAGCTCTAGCTCTAGATAACAGATTCATCACGCGTGCGGCCCAATAGCCGCAATACCCCCAACGAATGCGCGTGTGTGTGGGTGTGTGGGTGTGTTGCTTTACAACACCTACCAGGTAAGAAAAACAAGCACACACGCGCGCGCTTGACAGATATGTCGCTGTTGTTGTTGCTTTCCCCGGGTTTATTGTAGCTATTTAGGCCCCGGTACGAGCTCTTACGGCCTGGCAGGTGGCTGCTGCTGCAGCATGTTCCGTGCGGCTGCGTTTACGATCCTGCGTTGGGCGACGACGCCTTGTCTGGCACCCCCGGGTCCGTGGCGGAGGGCCCCCAGGCCGCCAAGACCTCGAACGGGGAACGCCAGCGCGCCGCCGCCACGCCGCCGCCGCCGCCGCCCGGAGAGATCGCCTCGGCAGACGGCTTGCCAGCAGCAGGAACAGTGCAGCGGCGGCTTCCGCCGTCGTCCCCGCCTCCGCCTCCGCTAGAGCCACGGGTCGTTAGGCGCTGCGGAGCTGCCTCAAAACCCCTCGGCGGCGGCTCAGGAGGAGGCGGAAGCGGTGCCAGCGGCGCGTTTAGCATGCCCGGCGCCGCGTCAGCGGCAACGGTAGCAACTGTGATGGCGGCGCCGCCGCCGCTGCCACTGCCGCCCTTAGCCCCGGGCGAACCCCCTATGTCGGAGCTCTCCGTGATACGCGCCAGGGTGAAGCGCGGAGACCGCATGCAGTCCGGGGGCCCCCCCGCCGGACTGCCCACACCGCCCACAGCCCGGCCCGCCACACGCCGCTCGTGCAGCAGCTGCAATCCCAGAAGGTCCGCGCCCGTCCCCAGCTCCACACCGATTTCCGAGCTGGAGGACCACCGGGCGGGGCCGGTGACGGAGGTGGAGGTGGACGCGGTAGCAGGAGCGGTAGCGGCAGGAGCTCGCTCGCCTTCGCTGCCGGGCAGGAGGGGGGCGATTGGGGGGACTGATTGAGGAAGGCGGCTCTGGCTGCTCAGTTCGCGACAGGCGGCGGCGACGGCGGCGGCGGCGACGTGGCGGGTACTGCCATCGGCGGAACAGCCAGCGCCGCCGGGGCCGGCGGCGGCGGCGGCTCCGGAGGCCCACAGAAGCCAGAGGTTTCCGCCGTGTAGTGTTCCCTCCAGGGATGCCTGTTCGAATGCGATGCGCTCGTCCGCGTCAACTAGCGCCAGGGACGATAGCCGTACAGGCGGCTCCGCCATCGCAAGTAACCCTGGCAAATTGAAGAGTGAGGTTGTCCCCGTCACCGCAGGCATCGCTACCGCAGCCGCAGCCGCCGTCACAGCCGCGTCAGCGGCGGCGGCCGCAGGAGATCCCGCCGCCGCCAGCGAAACTCCCAGATGGCGCGACGACGCGGTGAGATGCAGGGAGGTGTATGGCACATCGCACGACGGCCCAGAGCCCATATCGTGCCGTACGATCGTGCGCAGCAGCGGCAACGGCTCTCCGACGTCTGCGCAGCACCCCTCGACGGCAGTGGCTTCGCTTATGCGCGATGTGATCGCGGCTGCCTCCAGCAGCCGCAGCGGCGGCTGCGGTGGCATCGACTGTACGGCGGATCCATCCAGGGATGGACGTACGAGCAACGGGGTGGGACAGCTGTCAAACAGCGCTCGGGGTTGGAGACCACACCCGATCTCTAAGGGCCGCGAGGGGACGATATTAACGTCGGCCGGGCTTCTTGACGCAAGGCCCGAAGGGCTGAATTCCACAGCGGCAGCGGGGCTGGCGACGCCGGCGTAGGGCTGAATTGTTGTGTCCGCTTCGGGGCCCGTTAGCGCCGCCGCCGCCGCCGCCGCTCCCGCCGTTGCAAATGCGGTCCTCGACAACAAGCCGTCCCTGCTCTGACGCCCGGTGAGCGATGTAACGGCAGCGATGGCAGCGGCAGCGGCGCTGCCGCCATGAGTCGAGTTTCCCGCACGCGCCACCGCCAGTACGGCCTGCGCCAGTTGATGTACGGACACATCGCGCGATTGGGAGGACGTAAAGCCGCCGCCGCCGTCACCGCCGTCACCACCGCCACCACCGCCGCCGCCATGCGGCACGTCGGTGCGTAGCTGCTGCAGCATGGCGGCGGCGTCACTGGAAGCCCGTGTGGCGGCGCTGAGCACTGCCGCCAGCGCGCCGCTCTGCCACCGTGCCGTACCGCCGCGTACGACGGTAGGCTCCAAATTGGATGAGGAGGCCTGGCGGCCTAACGGCACGCCGGTCAGTGCCGCCAACAGCTCAGCATTCTCCAGGAGGTCTAAAGTCCAGCTGCTAGCCGATAGAGCACTGCAAGACAAGTCACACAAGCCACAAGCCACATAACATCATTGAGTTATGCAGCAATACGGTTATGATGAGACCTATGAGGCCAGTTCGGTTGGCGGTTGGAAGTTGGCCCTAACGACCAGCTCAACGGTCGGACATGTAGTTCATCGAAGCAGCGAAAAGCGGCGGAGATAAGCGATGAGATGAGAAAACGCATGACGGCGCATATCGCTGAGATGACGATACGATGATGAGAAGGCTAGCTTGACATCCCGCTGGACCCTAGGCGGGGCTCTAATAGCCGAGGAGGCAGGATCATCACGAACTCCTTAGACAAGCCATGCCCGGACAAGGGCGGCCCTGTACTACGCACCGCATATCCGCACCCAGCGCTATTCGGTCCAACCACAAGTCACTAACATCGCTGCAGCGGCCGCCGATGCCGCCGATGCCGCCGCCGCCGCAGGTGCCCAAAGCAGCCCCCGTCCGGGCTGCCGCGGCGGCGGCGACATCGGCGGCAGCGGCTCCGCCGCCGTCCCACCTGCCACGGCCGCCGCCGCCGCCGTCACTGCCTAGCAGGGGCAGTAGCGATACGGCCAAATTCTCCGGCGCGCTGTGCGCCCTGCATAACTGCCCTCCGGCGACACCTGGCAGCTCCCGAATGAGCGCCAGTGGGTCCACTGCCGCCAGTTCCAGCCCCCTATCCCGTACGGACCGCCGCCGCGGTCGGGAAGCCAGATGCCGCTGCTGTGCCGGTGGTTGCAGCTGCGGTGGCTGCTGAGGTGGTTGCGGCGCGCCTGCCAGCGCCCGGCCGGAGCTGGACCAGCCGCGGCCGGTGCGGTAGCCTGCACCGGTTACAGGCTCCAACAGCGGCAGCGGCGGCGGCGGCGCTGCTGCTGCTGCTACCGCCGGCGGCGGCAGCCCGGCGGCGTCGACGACCCCCTCCTCCGGTTCCGCTACCGTCTCTAGCCCGTGCCGTTGCAGGAGGTGATAGTACGGCGGTTGCGAGGCGCTCGGCGCCCTACGGCTCCCGCCGGCGCCGGCGGCACCCCCCGCCGTGGAAGCACCCCCTGCCTGGCTGCTGGCGGCGCCGCCGGTCCCGCCGCCGCTTGCCGCAAGCCAATTTAGCACCGGATGACTGGCGTGATGGCTTGGCAGCTGCCTGTGACCTCCACCTCCACCTCCACCTCCACCTCCACCTCCACCTCCACCTCCACCTCCACCTCCACCTCCACCTCCACCTCCACCTCCACCTCCACCTCCACCTCCACCTCCGCCCTCACCGGGCCCCACCAGGGGCTGTCGGGAGGAAGCTGAGGAGCCCCCAAACGATTCCAAGCTGCGGTGTGTGGATCCGTCAAGCTGCGGGTGAGTGTTGGGTCGCTGCGGGTCGAGGTTTCCCCGCTCTGAGCCGTCGTCGCCGTCGCCGTCGCAGTCCGCGGACAAGGTCAGGCTCCTTCGTCGGTCCAGAGACGTCCGCGCCGTCGCCATCGGTGTCGTCGTCTTCTGCTGTAGCAGCCACTGCTGATGTTGTTCGCGCTGCCGCAGCAGCAGCGGCTGCTGCGAGCAGGCCGAGTCGATGCTGAGGCGGCAGCCGGGTTGTGAGGCGGGGCTGTTGTCAACGGGTGGGCCGGCGGTGGCAGTGGCAGTGGCGGTGGCGGAGAGCCTGTGCTTCTGCGCACGCGGCATCAGCAGCAGCGAGCCACGCAGCAGCTGCCTGCCGGCTGAGGCACCACCACTGTTGCGGTCCTGCAGTCCCATCCCTTGCTGCTGCTGTTGCTGCTGCTGCTGGTCTCTCTCGACTTGCAAGCTCACGGAGTTGCGGGTCTTGGCCCGGACGACGAGGTCCCTGGGAGGGCCGACAAGCCGACAGTCAGTCCCCGGGAGTTAAGAGGTTGTGAAAGCGCGGTAGAAGGGGGGTTTGGGGGAAGATCGGAGAGGGGGAGGTGGGCCGATTCAAAAGCTTTCTAAGAGCAGCCCTTACTCATTGCCCTTTCCTTTCCTTTCCTCTCCCCACCCGCTCGACGGCCCCACTCCCGGGGCGCCTGTCTCGCTCCCGGGCCCTTGTGGCTATATCTTCCGTGACGAAGAGGTATTGCAAATATGGCACAAATATGGCTGGCTGGCGCAATCTCGTCGTCGGCTTTCAAGTCGGAAAAGAATGGAGGGCCGGCTCTACGGCCGCCTACGATTATTCACCTTGCCTCGAGGTGCTTTCGGCAAGAAATATGCGATCATCAAGTACGTGCTCAAAACAGTCCGTGGGGACAAAACCTGAAGCCGGATCGGGGTTTTGCCATTTTACACGCGCGCGCCTCATGTGCTTAAAATGGCTCGGCGAAATTCGGCAATTAAAACATAACAGAAAACTTGAAGATCTGAAGGAAAAAAGTGCAAAAAATTTCCGGATTAACAGGAAAACAGGTTTCTGTTATTAAAACTAGCCTGTCCACTGGCCCCCAGCTAGGGCGATCTCTCTCCCCCTCCACCACGACCACCCCCGCCACTTCCATCCCCACTACCCCCAACCCCACCACCACGCACCTGTGCAGCGCTTTTCGCCTGTCCGTGAGTTGCTTGGTGAAGTCGGAGAGGTTCTGACCCTCCGCCCGGCTAGCCATCATGGCGAAGGCCAAGCCACGGAAGCGGCTGCGGACACCTCGCGGAGTAAGTGGTGGCGATGGCAGCGAGGTAGAGGCGATGAGAGCGGGAAACGTATGCAATCAGAGGGGGATGGAAAGGGGCCGGAAAGTGAGCAAGAGGAAATGCAGCAGGAATAATATGTAACCCGCTGCATGTGTTCGTGTCGTTGTTCGGTGTTATTGCGGCCGTGATGAGGCGGAAGGAGGCGAGGAGGAGGAGGAGGAGGAAGGGAGGTCCGCATTCAGAAGCGGAGGCCCGGGGGCTGTTCCCCACGATGTCAATGACGACCCCGACGACTTCCCCAGATCAGACTCCTCCTGCTACTGCTCCTCCTCCTGCTCCTGCTACTCACCGCAAGGATGCCAGCTGGGCGAAGCGGCGCTTTATGGCCGCATCCAGAGGCTGACTCAGCAGCGCGGGACCCCCTGTCGCCATGGACTGCGTCATGAAGGGGTGTCTGAGCACCTCCCCACACGAGGGACGGTCCCGCGGGTCGTCCGCCAACATGGCCAGCAGCAGCTCCCGGGCGGCGGAGGACAGCGACAGAAAGCTGTAGGGGTGGGGGTGGGGGTGGAGGTGGGGGTGGGGGTGACGACAACGATGGTGGCGAGGATGAGATGGTGGCAATGATGATGATGGTTCGTGCGGGGAAAGGGAATCAAGGTGTGAGGTGAGGTGAGGGTTGAGGTGAGGTAAGGTGAGGTAAGGTGAGGTGAAGAGGGAAAGGAAGGGAGGTTGCAAGGAGTGGACATGACCGGGCAGGGCATAATCAGAGACAGCAGGAACAGCAGTAGTGGACAACCGTGTGTTGTGTCCTACCCGCCCGCCGCCCGTCACCCGGGCGGTCAGAAGGTCGTTTGTTCGGCCAGTTGGGAAGGAGGGGCCGGCTGCTGCGGGTGGGTGGGTGGATGGGTGGGTGGATGGGTGGGTGGATGGGTGGGTGGATGGGTGGGTGAGTGGACGGGGACGGGTAAATCCCGACTTCGCAAGCGGGGGTGATCGGTGATACATGTTCGCGTCCACCACCATCGCGCCACCGCACCTTCTGTCCGCACCCCGGCAACACCATCCCTCTGCACCACCTCCCACCGCCCAACCCACCACCCCCGGCCCGCCCGAACAGATGAACCCTCTTTTTGAGCCATGTGCCGTCAATGGGGTGTGTGCTGCATGGCCCCTCCCCCCTCCGTGCTTGTATCTTCCCTAATCCCTTCCTTTCTCCTCAAATTGCGAAAGGTAGGGGTGCATCGCCCATTGACCGACATCGCGAGAAAACGTTATTTAGGGATCGTTCGTGTTTATTGTTGAAATCCCTCAGGCCCCGAAGGCTTCCCCGCATTTCCTCAGCCTCCAACCCCCCAGGGAGTGCCCCAGGCCCCCCTCCCGCCCTCCTAATCCCGCTACTCGGGGTCTGATATCCGGGGGCCCCTGTGGGTCATTTGCGTGCGCATACCCACACGCACCCACATACCCGCACGCACCCACATACATACGCACACACACGCACATGGGGTCTTTCATTCCTGGCGCCTCGTTGATGGGTCGCTCCCCGTACGACAGGTTCCTGGAGTCCTTCAGTGACCAGGGCTTACGGCCCGTGAGCATTGCGAACAGCAGCACACCCAGGGAATAGACTGCAACCGGGGAACGGGGTGCGGTAGGGTAGGGGGGAAGGAGGGAGGGGAGGGAAAGACGAACCACACAGGGGAGGGGAGGGATGGAGGGATGGATGGAAATCTGTCTGTATTACTAATATTGACACGAAACACGTGTGCGTTGTTTTGAAGGCAACCGGCATCCCCCACCAAAAACCGCAGCTCCTCCCCCTCCCCCCCCCCGCTCGCGGCTGCCCGGAGAGCCTCCGTCCACACGTTCCCTCCCAACCCCCTCCACCGGGGGGCACCCCCGCGCCCCGCACTGCACTGCACGGCACTGCGCGGCACTGCACCGTACCGTCCATCTTCAACTGAGGTCCGCTCGCCCGCGACACGGTGTGGAAGTGGAAGTGCGTGGAGGGAAGGAAGGAGCAGATTTGGAGGAGTGGAGAGAGTGATGACCGAGAGCGGGTGAGAAGGGGGTTGAGGGGAGGGCGAGAGGCAGGAAAGAGACCTGGAGAGGGGCCAATTTGGAGAGATGGGGACCGCGGCAAATCGCTACGCCATACACCCCACAACACAACCAAACATACAAATATGTGCAGAAGCCCATAGCTGCCATTCCAGTGAGGACGTGCGGCAGCTGCTCTCGGTGTACAAGCACCTGAGTGGCCTTCCGGGCCCGGAGCCTGGCAGCCGGGGGCCGGGGGCTTCACTGTACTCGGACTCCAGAAATGCCCCGACCAGACGAACAAGGAACTCGGCAAGCAGTGTCGTATATAAATACCCACCTCGCCGTGCTGGCGTAGATTGGGGCCGCGCTTGCTGTCTCCTTCCCCTCCCCTCCTCCCTCCCCTCCCCCATGTCACCCCACCGTGTGCCAGCCCCCGCGCACAACCTCCGGTGCGATGAAGCCAGGAGACCCCATACACCCGCGGGGGGGAGTCCGTCGCGATGACGGCGGCGGCGGCTGCTGATTCCCTGACGACGACGATGTCCCGCCGTACTGCTCCCCCCGCCGCTTCCGGAGGAGCTGCTGCTGCTGCTGCTGCTGCTGCACCTCCGCCTTGATCTTGGTCCTGGCTATTTCCGGCGGCAGCAGCACCGTCGCCATGCCGAGGTCAATGAGCTTCACTCTCAGGGGTCGGCCCTGCGCTACGCACTCCTCCACGGGCCGAGCGAACATGACGTTCTCGGGCTGTGGGTACACATGCGGCGGGGGGCACATGGGGTTGTTGTACACGGGGATGCCGTACAAGCGGTTGGCATTAAATCAGCAAAACCAATGTGGCGGGTCTTCGTAGTGGGGCCCCCGGACCCGCACTCACCTTGATGTCGCGGTGCACCATGTTCAGGTTGTGCATGTAGCCCACAGCACCGGCAACCTGGCGGCGTCAGCAGCAACGCACAGGAAGCAGCAGCAGCAGCAGCAGTTAGCGATTAGCGGTTGCGGCAGCATTAGGCCAGACCTCCTCCCCCTCCCATGAGCCAACCGGTCTTTCGACACCGCAGCCCGCACACTACTGCCGGGCTCCACCAACCAACCAACCAACCAACCAACCAACCAACCAACCAACCATACATACATACATACTAATCTAGGATCTGTATATAGCTAGTAGTATAACTAGGGATGCGCGAAGGGGGGGGTAGTTACGGCGAACCAGGTGCAGGCTGTGCAGCTTGCAACTGCGGGAAAGGGAAAGCCCAGTGACCAAAGCCCGCAAAGGCAACGGTGAATTTTCCTCGTTTTGCAACAGAGGGCAGTGTGCTGTGTGACGTAGCGGCGATCTCGTGAGGTGCGGCCACACGGGGCGAGATATCGCCGAATCGCAGTCTTCGGGTCGACGCGCGGGTTGCCGCGTTCGTAGGGGGGCTCTACTTCTGGGCTCAGGGTACCGATAAGGCTGCCCCACACCACGGGGAGGAGGGGCGCCCGGGAGATGCACCGGGACCCACCCAGGGTGGGCAGCAAGCCGCGCCTGCTGCTCAAGGTGCAAAGGCTGCCTGGGGGGAGCTGTGCCGCAGCGCGTCTGAAGTTGGTCGTGAGAGGGCCTTTCGTAGGCACACCGTGCGCTCTTTCATCATCATGGTGGATTACATGAAGCAGAGTCGTAGAGACACAGAGTGGGTCGCGCGCCCTCGGTCGGGCAGGAGGGGACTGAGGCCCCTCACACCCCTCTCCTCCCGCTATGGGGGGAGTGCTTCTGCGGTCGTTCCCATTGGGGTTGCCCCTGGCCAGCATCAGGCCCGGATCGATATGTAACAGAACTGCATACACACACATACGCACATACACCTGCGCACCTGCGCGAACAGCCGGGCCGCCTGCGCCTCCGAGTAGTGCTCCACTCGGTGCAGGTGGTCCAGCATCTGGGTGGGCAGGGTGTGAGTGTGGGAGCGGTGAAAGAGGGAACCTGTTCCAGACATAGAGAGGCGGAGGGGAAGGAAGACACACACACCCGCATGCAGGCCGTGCAGGGGAGGGCGGATATCCTTGATATGCAGGAAGAAGGAGAAGGAGAAGGAGAGGGAGGTCAACTGCCAACCGACGTCCAACATGCACAACCGACACATCAACTGAACGGATGGATGAGGGGTTTTAATGCTAGGCAGAGCAGATTAAGTTTTCTGTTCTGAAGATTGGCTAGGGGTGGCTAGGAGGGGACGGGGGTGGCTGGGAGGGGACAGGGGTGGTTAGGAGGGGACAGGGGTGGCTAGGAGGGGACGGGGGTGGCTGGGAGGGGACGGGGGTGGCTAGGAGGGGACGAGGGGGACGTTCCATGTCGTACCTGACCGCCCGAGAGGTACTCCAGGATCATAACCTGCCGGACGTGTGGAAGAGGCAACGGCGAGTGAGGCCGAGGAAAGGCGGGGCCATATCCTATATGAGTGCGGGTGGGGCGGCTAGGCAGGTGCGGGTGGGGGAGCGGTAGGCACGTATTTGGGTCGGGGAAGGACAAGCAAGGGGAGCTCCTAACGGGCGGAACCCGGGGGCTCGCCGGGGCTCTCGGTGGCTGCGGCCCTCTCGCCCCCAAGCGCCGGCGACCCCACATCAAGACCTCCACCCACCCAACACCGCACCACACCGCCAACACCACCACAGCAAGGAATACATTAACCGACCAGAACCTACAGATATACAAAGACCTACACACAAAGAAACCCACGCACACTCACAAGGGCACCAGCACACCATCACCAGCATCCCACATCGTCATCACGATGCTCCGTCAAACGCCCATCACAACGTCAGCAAAGAGAAAAGACTACGTTGCTCCATCCAAGAAACAAACAACGTTTTGCATACTTGCAACACACATGTGCAACACACGCACACACATAAACACACACCACCCGGCGTAGTGCAGTGTGGCAATGGCTGTGGATGGTGCTGCATGGTATGATAAATCGTAGAAATGGCAATGTGTTCAAGTGGCCCAGAAGCCTCCCACTCCGTAACGTTTACATTACAACTTAACACCTACAACCAACACACATGCAACACACATACACACACACACCCCCCACCAGATGATATTTGGTTTCGAAGACGTCATGGCACCGCAGCAGCCCCGGGTGGTCCAACAGCCGGAGGAAGCGAGCCTCACCGCGCAGAATCTCAACCTAGTGGTGCCGTACGTGAAAATGTAGGTCGAACGTACGGACAAGGAATGTACGGGGATGCATGTTACAGACAGGGCGGTGGATGACTCTGTGATTGAGGGCACAAGGGCTGCGGTGGCGGTTAGGGCCCCTGGAGATGCGGACAGACAGACAGACAGACTGCTAAGGACAGACGGACAGCGTGAGGATCATGACTTCATGAGGACTTGTGCATGCATGTACGACAGGGGGGACGGGTTTTGCTAATGTCAACAGTGCACACTGCCGGGGATGGCACAGGGGATTTGGGTTTTGCGTATTTGGGTCTCGCGTGCCGCACAGCGTGTATTTCGCTTACGTCGCCCGGCAGCAGCCATGGTTTGCGAAGATTGACCACTTTCAGGCACTGCTCCACACCCGTTGACCGACAGCGGACGAGCCAGACTTCGGAGAAACCGCCCTGAGAAATACACATATGAAAATATGAACGTGTGGTTGTGCCAATAGACGTAAAAAAATGAAACGGGGCATAACGACATTGGCTTTTAAAGCGTAACATCAGGGACAACACTATTCCATGTCCCGCTAATAAACTAAGGGCCCTCGGCACGAACTTAGTTTGGCTTGGAAATTTTATTCATTGACATAGATGCTGGCGGAGAGGAGGATGGATGTGGGTTGATTTCAGGCAGAGGTCGGGAAGATGTGGGCAGGGGAAACATCGGGGGTAGGGATGCTCCCAGAGCAAAGCCTTGAGAGCTTCACCGACTTTCTCTCTATGGCCATGACAGTATACTCACATCTGCTATATGCTTCTCCAGATTGTATTGCCGCAACGTGGAGTGTGCGCGCCAGTCGGAAAGCCTGATGAAGTGGGTTGCAGTCGTGAACTCATAGTACGAACACTTGAACATCCTTACAATACCGGTGCCCGCAGCAACACGCGGCCGGTTCAGCATACGGGGAGGCGCTACCTTTTCAGGTCGCGGGAGAGTCCTGCTCTGTATGTATCTGGCTCATCTGGCAGGCAGCAGCAGACTGCGCCCACGACGTCTCGCAAGATGGACATAACTATATATGGGTGACCTTTGGGCCAGACAGCATAGGCTTCCAGGACAAGTTATTTCAGCATTCTATAATAATTGGCTGAGAGCAATTCGTATGGGCCTTTAAAATTGCGGTTCTGTTGGACGTCAAACGTCGGCATACCCATGAATTGAACGAGACTGAGTCGACCTCTGGAAAAGATTTTGCATCGGAGTGGCCTCCAATGAATCGTTTACTGAAAATAACGAAAAGATACTGCATACCGGATCCTGCAATTCAAAAGAAAACGTTACAGAAGCAGCCCCTCAACACAAAAGTTAACTTGGATGTCTCTCAAATCAAAATAATTTGTGGTTTTGCGCTGAGCACCTCGTCTGTCGGCCGTTGAACTCCTTCAGGATGAGTAATATCAGAAACCGCGTGACGTCGGTGAAGCTAGCCACTGGCACCTTTTTCCCACCGGTTCACCGCACAACAGATAAATGCAACGCGCGTAAAATCTGCAACCCAACTGTAGCATTGCAGACTGGCGTTCCTGAAGCGACTGAAGGCGCTCCGAAGCCCCGGTAGATATGAAGGCCTGACATGCACCACGCAGAATACCGTGGGGCCTCCCGGGCCCGATCATCAAGGAGCACCCCCGCGCCGACTCACCATACGCGTGACTGCGGTCATGACGCCAGATGCGTTGGCGGCCAGCAGCAGCAGCGTCAACTTCTCCGCCGCCTCCGCGTTGCTGATTGGTGCTGCTCAGTGCCTTTTGCTGGCGCTGGACAGTACTACCATGTAGTGGTACCATGTGATGCCTCTAAGTTTATTTCGGTGCTGTATGGTGCTGAATATCACCGTATAGAGCTTTACGGAGCTGCGGCTGGTTGCAGACCGTAATCCGTATGCGTACGTTCAGCTGCATTGGGCCATCGTGCGCCGTCATTGCGGATGCGACGCCATCTTGAACGGTGAAAGGTGATTTTTAACTATTTCAAAAATGGAGATATCGTAAGGTTTTTATAATACACAGTCTCACCAAAATACCAGCCATGCGACTTTTCCCCCCACGCATCCCGCGCCGCCTCTTTCCGACTCCTTTCCCTCATGCGACACTATCGAGCTTCAGAACACGCTTCCCTCGCTGCCGACTCCCTTAAGGCTGCCCTCATCATCGCCGCCATGGTGATGCTGCACGACACCGAAGCCACCGCCGCCGCGGCCGTCGTTCTCGCTACCTTCAACGTGCCGAATAACGACTCCCGAAGGCAGAGAATGATCATCTCCTTCATCTCCTTCACCGCCCGCATCCGCCTCCCCCTCCGAAACCAGATCCAAAAGGTCCAGGTCACTGGGGTCGCCCACCACACGGCCGTCATCCGCCACTGCCAGCTGTGGAACCACTGTCGTACCCCCGGGCCCCCGCCGCCGCATCGAGGCCCCGCCAACACCACCACCGCCGCCGCCGCCGCTATATACGCCTGTAGTGGTGGTTGCGTCGGCCGCGATGGCAGCCCCCGGTCCACCGTCAACGGCTCGACTGGTGTTTCTGCGGAAGGAGGCAGCGACGGGAATGCGTGACGGCGATGGCGCCTCCGGTGCTTCCCAGCCCCGTCCCAGCGCCTCCGACGCGTCCGACCAGCCTGCAAGCAGTCCAGTGGCGGGATAGGACGACAGGACGAGTCCTGAAGAGAGTGGGAAGGGAAAGAAAGGTGGCGGCGGCGGCAGGCAGCGAGACGGGAGCAGGGGGGCGCGGACGGCACCAGCTGCAACTGGGAGAGAGGGGTCATCCTGCTTCCTAGCCTAACATTATATATGTATAGATATATATACATATATACAGCTCGACATGTCGCCTTCCTCACCGCCGTGCTTTCCTCCTACACACCTTCCACGCTCGGCGCGCCGTCATTCAAATCCTCGTCGTCCGACGTCACCACCAAATTGCCGTACCGCCCTGTTCCGTCGCCGCCCGCCGCTGCCCCCGCCGCTGCCACTACTGCCACCGTCGCCGCAGCATCATGACCGCCGGTGTCTCCATTCGCCCTGTCGGCAACGTCACCGCAGCCTTGCAGTAGTGCGGAAGCCTCACCCGCCTCCCCAGGTGGGAGCCGCCGCCGTCGGCTGATACTGCCGCCGCGCGGGTACCTGGCCGCTCCGCTCACGTTCCTCGACAGCGCCGCCACCTCTTCAGGATCCAATATGAGATCCAGATCGTCTTGTTCAACCGCTGCCTGTCGTACCCTGCTGTACAGCCTCCGAGCCTGCGACATGCGATGCATTAGCGAGAGGAGAAGTTGAGAAATCGGGAGAGGATGGGGGAAGGGGGAAGAGTTGGCGGCTGTGAGAATCAGGCAGGGCTGTATGGCAGAGCCGTTAGGGATGGAGAGCGGTGACGGTTGGGCCGGGACCGGTGGGGTACAACGGCCCGGTGGGGTGAGGCGGGGCGGGGTGTGCAGGCACTAGTGAGAGCTCCGGGCATGCGCTGGCCGGAGAATGGAGCCCAAGAGTGTATCCTCGCGTCTTCGCCACAGTAAAGGGTGGCCGCAACCTTGGCCTTACCTGCATGCCCTTCCAGGCCGCCTGGATGCGAGCCGCCGCCAGTTCGTGCCGTACATCGTAAGACATACCCGGCGCTGCCGTTGCACTGGACCGAGGTGGGTCCCACAGGGCGTCGGCGGCAGCGTCGGCGGCAGTAGCATGGCTCCGGGCCGCTATGAGGCGCCCATCCGGCGCGGCTGCTGCCACGGGCGTAGCCACGGAGACCGCGGCATCACCCGCCGGCGGCACCTGCTGATCCTGCCGCTGCTGACGCTTAACCGCCGACAGATGCTTTCGTACCAGGTAGCCGCGGTGAGCGGCCTGGATCCGAATTGCGGCGCGCTCGTGTTCACTGCCGTACGGTCCATATTGCGATGTCGCTGCTGCGGCTGTCCGGAGCCCGTGCGCCATGGTGTGGCGAGACGGCGGCGGCGGCGGCGGTGTCGGCTCCGGAACCGATGCTGGTGCCGCAACGCCGGCAGCTTTGAGTCGGCGACGGGCACGGTGGCCCCGGAACGCCGCCTGAATTCGAGTCGCCGCGGAATCCGGGTCCAGCCCCGAACCTGGTTTCGGAGCTGGCTGATGATCCTGATGCTGTGTCGCTGGCAGTGTCGAGGCGGGCCGCAACGCCCCATTTATGGTGTTGTTAGGTGTGACGGAGGCAGTCGCACCTGCATTGGCCTGCTTGTCGAGTGCGGTAACGGTGGTGGCGGCGGCGGCGGCTGTGCCACCGCCGGTCCCGTCTTTGTGCGGCAGTCCGGAGCGCATGGCGGCCAAGTAGGCCTGCACCACCTGGTGCTGCGAGGGCTGCACAAGAGGGAGGCCGTGCCGGCGGAAAAGATGTAGGGGTAACAAGGTGTACTTTTGGGTGGATTGGTTGGGGGATTGGGGGTTGAGGTATGCAAAAGCAATTCACCAACTGCCGACGTCCGATTCACCGGGTGCCGTCATTGTGGTGTGCGCGGGGAGTTGGTGGGGAGGAAGAGAGCCGAGGTAGGCGATACGAGAAGGCGTTAGCACGCATGCTGCGGGGAGGATGTAAACACACAGCTGCCCCCAAAAGCGCCCCACGCCTGCTTTCCCTTCCGCCTCTTTTCACCCCCGACGAGTACCTCACCTCCTCCTCCTCCCCCTCTCTCCCGTCCTCATCCCCGCTGCTTTCCCCGAACCGCTCCCGGTACAGCTGCCGCAGCGTCTTGGGTCCGGCACCGCCGCCCAGGCCGGGCTTGTCCGCTGCCTTGGCGGCGCCGCGCCGCAGCCCGCCGACACCGACACCGCCGCCGCCGCGTCTCGCCTTCCTCCCCGCCTTCTCCCCCACGGCTTCCTCTACCTTGGCCGCCGTGTCACTGTACCGGTTCAGCAAGCCCACCAGCTTCGACAGCCGGGTCGCCTGATGTGAAAGGACCAGGATGAGGATGAGGATGTGGATGTGGATGTGTTACATGCAAGGGACCCAACAGCGACAGCAACAGCGGCAACAGCAACAGCAAGGGTGTCAGGGGCCGCTGACCGGCACCTCAAGTAAACACACATGGGTGGCTTGGGGAGTGTTGTGCACCTTCCAGCCGAACCTTCAAAACTAAGTTCCATTGTAAGCTCCTGCCTACATTCACTCGTAGATTCATTCGTCCAGTCCTTAGTGCAACACCGGTAATAGCCCGTTTGCTTAGAGTGACCAAACACGATAACTGCAGAGCAGAGCAACAATTCAATGATCATGGGGAAGTAGGGACTCCCAAGCTGGATGAGACACCCGATGGAGGCAGGGAGGGAACAGGGGAGGGGGGGAAGGATGGGCAGGGAGCGGGAGAAGGAGAGAAGAGGAGGCGGGAGAGGGAAAGAGGGAGAGGGAGGCCCCCGTTCAGCTGCTGTTCAGCAGTTGCGCGTAGATAGCACATACCTCTTCACGGTCCTTGGTGGACCGAACGGCCGCTTGAAGCACCTCAGCGGCAGTGCGGCCGGCGGCGTCCCTGACCCGCGGGTCGGCCCCGTAGCGCAACAACACCCGCAGCAGCGGCCGGGACTGTGCCTCTGCTGCGAGATGAAGCGGGGTCATCCCCCTTCCTCCTCCTACTCCTCCTCCTTCGGTGGGTGTTGTACGGCGGCCCTCCGGTGCGTTGACGTCGGCACCAGCACGTAGCAGCTGCTCCACGACCCATGCCAATGCCCTGAGATGGGAACGCATGAAGTAAACAGGTAAAGTATAAACGCAAAATTACCACACAGGGTGAACAGAGAACACAAAATACGAAACTTATCAGACGAGGCCATCAGTGCAGTGCACATAACGCCCACAACAGTGCTCTTGCTTCCGGGACCCCCAGTCCTCCCCCCACTCGTCCCCCGCCTTCCCACACGGAATGCTGCTTGGGCCTCGACACAGCCAGCTTGGTGTGGTTGATGCGGTTGGCCTCGTGCAGCCGCGTCGTCGCCGCGGCCTCCGCCAGGACGATATGCAGCGGCCGACGGCCCATGTCGTCGGCGGCGTTGGGGTCGGCGCCCTCCCTCAGGAGCACCGTCACACAACACCCCTCCATGCCAGGCCCGTGCAAGTGCGGACGAGAGCAGGCCACGTGTAGTGCCGTACGACCACGTGCGTCACGTGCATCGACGTGCAGGCCGCGGCTGCGCCCGGCGCTGCTGGCGACGGCATCCTCCGCCGCCGCTGTTGCTGCTGCTGCTGCTGCACGGGCGACCCCTCGACGACTGGCGCCTTTGTCGTCGTCGTCGTCGTCGTTCTCACCATCTTCCTGGTACGGCGGCAGGTGCTCCCGCGAAAGCGACAGCAACAGCTGGAGCAGCTCCCTGAGGCTGGTGGTGCCGGCGCCGGCGGCAGCGGCAGCGGTTATGCCACCGTGACGGTTGGCAGTTGGTAACGGTTGTTGCCTCACCCGGCAGGGGCTCCGGTGCCCAGAGGGGCTTCGAGTCCTCCTTGGCGGCGATTGCTGATGCTCTCGACAGACGTTGTAAATGATGGCCTGTTCGCCAGAGAAGGGGAAGAACGGAGGGCAAAGGTCTGGAAGGGGAGGTTGGAGGAGGAGAGCGACGGTGTTTTGCAGCCAGAAGGCCGTTCGCCGTCCCCAGCATTGCAGCCAGTCAGCGGACACGACACATTCTTCCCAAGTACACGACACCTCCTGTCTTCTCTACCACGCCTCGTGCAGGAGCTGCTACCCTCCCCTGCACCCCCTACACGAGCACACTTCGTGCACTACCCCTTCCCGCCGTTTCCTCCTCGCGGCTCGGATGATTGATTAAGGCACGCACCCACACCCACACCCACACCCGGAAACCTCCCGCCTTCACTCACTACACCCACATACCTACATACCTACACACGCACCTTATGCAGCAATGTCTCCCCGGTGTTGGCCTCCCGCACATCCACACGGGCCCCCGCGGAGAGGAGTACCTCGCAACGCAAGTCGCCCTCGGGAAGCCAGCAGCCTGGGAGGGCCGGAGACAGGGCCCCGCCAACAACCGCACCGGAACCACAAGCAGCAGGTCCAGCCGGGGTAGCAGCAGCGGGGGCCCAGCATTGAGGCGGTAAAGGGCCCAAGGAAAGGCGGGGGGGAAACAGGGGAGGGAACCGGGGTGGGACGCGGCGCGTAGGAACACACAGCGAGGGGAGGCAATAACGACCAGAGCATTGGGGAGGAAGGGCCAGCGGGTGGGTTGGGGTTTGGGGAGAGAGGGAGAGATGCTGCACACGCGCACGCACCCCGCACGCGCGCGCGGTATGCTTACACGTCCGCGTTGTCGCGAGTCAACCGTACACGTGCTGCAACCTTAGAACACGGAGCACTGCTCACAAGAACACCTTGTTAAACATTGTCAGCAACAATGTTGAATGATTGGTGTACGATATGACAAGACCACTCATAATTCGATACATGCACACGCCGCGTCTACCAGGGTATGGTAGGCACGCAGCCAGTCAACCGTATATCACCCCGGCATGCCCCCCACCTGGACCCCTCCTGCACCGGCCCCTTCCCCACCCGCCGCGAAGACGCGCATCAGGGGGGTGACCCCCCAGCAGTCCGCCGCATTCGGGTCGGCACCCGCACTCAACAACAGCTCCAACACCGCCACTGCACTGCGTCCCTGACGACACTGAGCAGCGCGGTGGAGGGGGGTCTCCCCCGCCCGGTTACGGCAGTTGACCAAAGCCATAGCAGCAGCAGCAGTAGCAGCAGCCGACTCCACAGCTTTCTTCGCCGCGTCCTCCCTGGTCTTGATCAGCAGCTCCGCCACCCGCAGCGCGTCCCCCCGCCCAGCAGCCCAATGGAGCTCGCTGCTGCCGCGGGGCCCCTCCGACGACACTGCCCCCGCCAGGCGCTCCGCATCCGCCTTGGAGTAGGCGTTATTACAACCCATGGGTCGCGATTTCGAGGGCGGCACCTCGTACGGTGGCGGAAACACCGTTTCGAAAGGCGGCCGCCGGCCTGCGCTGCAGACACGGCACATCCTCATCGCCCGGGGCGCCGGCAATGGGGGAGGGTAAGACTTTATTATATACTATCATATGTTAGATAATGCTGATCTAGCTGGCGAATGGGCGAATAGGGAGGAGGTATGGGTCCGACATCCAGGAGTCGAGTCCAACTGGGGACCCAGATCACCCAGAAAGCCTTTCCCCCCACCCTATTACGTTGCCCACCCCGTCATCAGCCACCCACGCACCCGTGTACACCAGCTCCCCGTTCTGGAACTGGTAGTTATGCTGCCGCTGCCGCTGCTGCTGCTGCTGCTGCCGACTGCCGCGGGAGTGTGGACGGTGTTTCTGCCCGGATGAGGGCGAGGTAGGAGGACAGCGGGAGAGCGGTGGAGAGCGAGTTGCAGCGGCGCCAGGGGAGGTGCTGCGCGGCCGCCTAACGCCACCGTTGCCGCCACCGTTGCTGCCTGCGCCTGCGCCTCGCCCTCCCGGCGGTATCCATCGGCCGTCCAGATAGCTTAGCACCTCACGTACACTGTGTGCGTGTTTGTGCGTTTGTGCGTTTGTGTGTATGTGTGTGTGCATGTGTGTATGTGTGTGTGCATGTTGAGGGGGGGAATGGGCAGCGGGTTGTAGCTTCCGTTAGGGGCCGTTGCAGGTGCAGTCGTGGTAGCGGGGGCCTTTCCTTCAATGGTTCGAGCAAGGGGGACATAGGGGGGGATGGGTGAAAGCGAGAGGGGGGTCTATTCATTGCGCTGCCACGGCAGAGGAGGACCTCGCGGGGCCCCGAACTTGCCAATATGAAATCCTCCTCTTGAATCCCTTGTTGGTTGGGCTCCCCGGCTCCTTCGTATCATGCACCACCTCAACCCGAAGGTGTACATAGTTACAGGTCAGGAGGACATAGACATAGAACCCCCCCATATGTCACTGCTAGTGTCGACTTGTCAACACCCCTACACTTCCTGCCACCACTACACCCCGCCCAAATGGCAATGCTCTTAACATCCCCCATACTCTTCTCATCCCGCCACACTCATACAGTCATACACACACATACATACACACACACCTGCGCTGCAGCTCCGGATCACCCCACTGCCCCTCCAGCTCAGTCCCCACTCGCACCATGCCGTGGGCACGAGTGGCGCTCGTAGACCGACCCACCCACGGCACCTTCGGAACCGCGAGCCACACGCCAGCCGCCGCCTCCGGCCCCTGCTTCGCCGCCGCCGCAGCTGTCACCGCCGCCGCTGCCGCCCTGGCGGCGATGGCCCGCCGCAGGTCGCTGTCGGCGCCGATGCCGCGCACACGCGCCTCTGGCGGCGCCAGCCGCTGCCCTCGACGCGGCGTTGTCGTCACAGCCGCCGCCGTCATGGCCTGGGCTGCCACCGGCTCCTGCGGCGGCAGCCCTACTACTGGCTGCTGCTGCTGCTGCTGCTGCTGCTGCTGCCAACCGCTGTCGCTTCTATGTCCGCTGTCGGCCAGGGAATAGGAACCGATGCCTATATTCGCAAACTGGACAATGCGGGCCGGAGGGACCCCGGGAGGTGCGGGTGATGGCAGTGGAGGCGCGCTGAAGGGCCGATCCCGACCTCCCACTGGGGTGTCAGGACCGGCAGGAGGGGGAGGAGGGAGTGGGGCCGGGCTGGGGAGGAGCTGGGCGGGGGAGTGGGAGGCGGGAGAGGGACCCGGGGAGGAGCCATCTGCGAATCTCACTAAGGTCTGGCGCGGGTGCTGGGTGGCGGGAGGGGAGGAGGAGGCGGGGCGCGGCCGGGCGGGAGGGGAGGAGGCAGCCTGTGGACAGCAGCAGGAGAAGGGGGTGCACTGCGGTCGATGACAATGCTGCCGCTGCCATTGCCATTTTGGTCGGGGCATTACAACCATTACCGTTACCATGGCCAGCAATAGTAGTGTAATAGTTGCTACTGCCGCCGGCTTGCGGGGTGAGTCGAGGCGAGAGGGCGCGACTTGGAGGCCACCATAGCGGGAAACGCTGCTTGTCCCGGCGGGAAACAAGCAAGCAAGAGTTTCAGTTTGCAAGCCATTATAGTACAACTAAGGCGCAAAAAAATGCCATCTAATATCTCAGTTTAGTTTCTAAAGTTTCTCAAATAAGTTTAAAAGTTTAGATTTCGATGACTTCCAACCCTAATTATAGAACATCCAGAAGCCGCTTCCCCGCTGCATCCATTGCGGATATCTCCACCCCGAGGCCCCCAACCCACCGCACGCCCACCATCTCCACCACCACCACCTCCACCTACCCGCACCACCAGCCGCGGTGCCTTGGGTGTCGCCACACTGCGTGCCGCCACGAGGTCGGCAGTCACCGGGAGGCCCATCTGGCGCCGCAGCTCGATCTGTGTGAGGAGCCGGAGGGGCGCCGGAAGCCGAATGTCATGAACAGGTGTGTGGAGTCTGTCTGTCTGTCTGTCTGTCTGTCTGTCTGTCTGTCTCTCTCTCTCTCTCTCTCTCTCCCTCTCTCTCTCTCACACACACACATTCTCACACATACACACCCGTAGCTCCTCTCCCCCACCCGTCATGCACACCTCATGCACCGCTGCCCTGTGGTTGGTCAACAGGGAAGTCGGTGGGTAAAATGGCAGCGCCGACTCCACCTGGGAGGCGGCCGCTGCTGCCGCAGCTTTTGCCATCGCTGACGGCGGGATGCCGTACATGTGCCGTACGGCATCTTGTGCCAGCTTACTCTTTAGGGTGTGATGCACGGGTGTGGAGGACCCACGGGCCAGCACCTGCGCGTCCAAAGGTGTAGGGGAGTCCAGGGTTTACAGCAAGAAGGCGCCGTACCGTACGGGCATGCCAAGGCAGCGCTTGCCTTTCCGGACCTTCCGGCACCCACTACCATCCAGGACACGACCACTACGCCATCCAGGTGCCATTTGCACACCCGGGATCGAGCCTTACCGACTGCAAACTGGCGCGTCGCATCTCGCGCTGTCGGCTAATTACGCAGTAACAACTTTTAGAGAATATCGTATTATTATTATTATTTATTTAATAATGATCATTACATTTTTAATTATTTTTTAATATTTATTATTATTACTATTGTTATTATTATTATTACTATTGAACGCTCGGGGAATGAAGACGTGCATCGCTCTACCCCCCCCCCCATTAGCTTCCCACCACCTGCGCACCACCCACCAGTGCGACGGCCTCCTTGTCGGCGGTCCGCCAGGGGTCGGGTCCCGGGAGAGGGGGGTGCGCCGCGTGGGACCCGGGATGACGGATCCCACCGCCGGGAGCTAGCCCGACCAGCCGCTGCAACACACCACCCGCAGGGCGGCGGCGGCGGCCGCGGCGGCTACTACAGCCGCCACCGCCGGCATCACGCCCACCGCAATTGTCGTTGTCGCTGCTGCCATCGCCGTCGGCATCGTCGTACACCCAAGGGTCCTCGCCCTCAGCTTCCCGTCTGTCCGCCTCCGCCAGCAAGGCGCGCGCCTCTGCGCTGAGGCCCGGACGCCACACAGAGCTCATCCCGCCGCCGCCAGCCTCGGGCCCCGCTACCGCTACTGCTGCCGCACGTCGCAACGCCTGCTGCAGCGGCACCTGCGGAACCGTTTCGGAGCGATAGGATCGTGTACAGAATAATACAAAATCGCGCTTCGGATCTAAGACCCTGCATGTGGGGCTATGTGACCTCCTTAGGGCGGCTCCTCCTTCTCCGCCTCCTCCTCCTCACCTTCCCTTTCCCCCTCCGTCGGCACAACACCCCCAGAATACTTGTTAACAGACCAAGCATGTATGGCCATGCAGGAGCTTATGTACGATGTACCATGCCGTACCTTGGCGAGCTCGTCCACGGCCTCGCGCTGCCCCGACGACGCCATCTCCTCCCGCAGCCGCCGCCCCTGCGCCTCCACAACGGAAAGACGCTCCTGGGGAAGCATTGGCGGCGGCGGCGGCAGCGCCGCCGCCGGCGAAGTCGCAGCTACCGTCGCCGCCGCCGCCGCCGCGGCAGCTTGGCGGGCCTGGTCGTACCGGGACAGGCCGCCCAGGCCCTCCAGCCTGAGGACCTTTAATCGCCTGCCCCGAAGGAGGTCGCATAGACATACACACATACGTACATACACACGGGGGAGGGCGCTTCGGCGGCCGTTCCCCTTAGGGTACGCTTAGCTGCCCCTCGCTAGTCGGGCCCGGATCGATACGCAATACATACATACATACATACATACATACATACATACATACATACATACATACATACATACATACATACATACATACATACATACATACATACAGTCAACCCACCTGGCGACGTCGTCATGTGCCGCAACCAGCTGTGCCATTCGCCGAAGCGCGCCCACCGCTTCGGCAGGACCGCGGGCCACATATCCCCCACCCGTTCCTCCTCCAGCACCAATATGGGAACCAGCACCAGCATCAGCAGCACCAGTACCAGCAGCGCCAGCAGTACCTCTACCAGCCCACCGACCGCCGTCACCGCCGCCGCCAGCTCCACTGCGCTGATCTGTCGGTGGCGATGAATCATCCGACGACCTCGGAAAGGTCTTGCGGTCCGCTGGAGCCGCTGCTGGAGCCGCTGCTGCTGCTGCTGCTGTCGCTGCCGCTGTCGCTGCCGCTGTCGCTGCCGCTGCACGCAGCGCGCCCCTTAGGATCTGTTCCCGACCCGATAGCGTCACACCGTGCGGACCCCTCCGCACATCATCGGTGGTGGCGCTTACGGCGCTCGCTGTCCGCCGGCGTGGCAGCGGGCGGCTCCAGGCAGCGGCGCCACCCCCTAAGGGCCCCAGCGGCTGCTCCAACAGCTCCCGCGGCGGCGGCAGCACGACATCGCCGTACAGGATGCGGTCCTGGAGCGTGCGCAGCTGCTCAACAGCCTGTTGTGGAAGACCGATGCGGCCGCGTGCGTGCGTGGGAGTGGGTGGGGGACCGGGGTTTGGGTGCGGGGTGGGTGGGGAAGGTGAGCCACAAGAGTGAACCATTCCCCGGGTCGAAGTCGAAGTCGAAGTCCGTGTCAGGGTGGAACCGACGCAAACCAACCCTGCTAAGTGTACATACATACAGACGAAAACGGCATAGTGGCGTTGCAGCCTTACAAGGACAGACACACACACCATTTTTTAATGAAACTTTAATCTGGAGCTATTATTTTGCACCTCATTAGCGATCTCTTCCTTGCACCATTTCTTTGCCTCAATATTTAAGTTCTCTTCATTCCTTCAAACCCAAGCACCTGCCCCTCGCGCCATTACCCGCCTCGCGCAGGGCCTTCCGTCGCTTCAGGTCCATGAGGCCGAGCACCTGACGGAGCTCAGACGCCACATCGCCACTGCCCCCGCCGCCGCCGCCACCGCCGCCGCCGCTGCCGTACATCAGCAGTAGGTACCCGTCGATGGCGTTCTCCTGGAGCCTCTCCGCCAGGTTGACACCGAGGTCGGCGCCGCCTCGTTCCCGCGGCTGCCTAGCCCAGTGCGCCACCTCGGCGGGTGACCAGGTCTCTGGGGGGCGCCGCAGCACCTCCACCCACTCATGGTCATCCTGTTGGGCGGAGGGAGGAAGATGTGCGGATGCCCGGGTGCGGATGCGGGCGGTGGTGGTGGTGGTGGTGGTCTTTGTGTCATAAGTCGGGTAGTCGGGAGGTGTAAATAGATACAGGAATGGCACAGGAGGCACAAATGGTTTCGAAAGTGATCACAGCAAGGCGGTTACAGCGTAGGCAGAAATGGGTCAGGGGTGGGAAGGGGATGTTGGGTGGGACCGGGCGGTTGGGAAATTGGGATGGTGAGGTCTTGGAGGGGAAGGGATGCCGCGGGTGGACGAACGATGAACTCAGCTGGTTGCTATTTTGCGGTTGGCGATTGCAGTCGCAGTTGGCGGTATGTATGTCGTTAGAAAGGGGATATTCCAGCGGAGCGGACAGGGTCAACAGAGTGGCCGTTGGCGCGGGTGAGGCCCAGGGCCCGATGACCGTAACTGTATGTGGGATGATAACCCGCATGGGTTTTGCGGCAACGGACATTGAGTACCGTACCGTACGTGTGGGTTGGTGTTGGCATGCGGTGAGAGCGTGAACACGGAGGACGAGGTAACAGGGCCTTGGTGGACGGGCGGGGAAATGCGAGAGGGGCTTGAGCCAAATCGTGAGAGGAGATGCGGAATATTGGTTGGGAGGCCAGGGTATTATTGTCTTTGTGGGCCATGTACGTGCCAGGCCGTGACGTGGGTTGGGGAGTTGGGCGGGGGAAATGGCGGAGAGAAAAGAACAGGGTCTGACAAGTTTGCGCTTGTGGGCATAACATTTGTGCATCATGAAGACCCCTTTTATCAAAGCCAGGAATGTGTTGCCACGCTTGTGAAGGGTTGTCAGGCATAGAGGTTTTTCATCTTGCGCTGACGGGCAAGCCGACCTTGTAAGTGACGCACCCGTCCAGCGGCAGCTGGGTCGCTGATAACCCTTTTCCTGGCCGTGTGGTCCAACCCTAAGCCACTCACGCATCGAATCGCACGCTACCGAGCTTGCTTGGGTTTATTTTGATGTAAGTGGATCTGTACCATGTGGCTAGGCGGGAGATAATGTTTCAGGCTCCAAGCCTAATCGCCGAATGCTTATCCGCACCTTGGGGGACGGGTTCGCCGTTGCTCGACTCCACTCAAATTTGACCTCATACTCTGGTGCTACCGTACGACGGCTTACATTGAACTCCATCTGGCGCTGCCAAAGCTATGGGCTTTTTAGTTCGTCGACCGTTGACAGATAACACTCTAGTTGACCATCACAACATACTACAAGACAAGACACGCATGATTTCCCCTCTTTTCAGTTGATAGAACTCTCCATTCAGACACGTAAATCCATGCATTCGTTGACGTGGAGTGAAACTCTCGCTGTTTCAGTTTCGGAGCGCTCCTGCAAGTGATTCTATTGGCGAAGCAATTTCAAGAAGCAAGTTCATATGCTTTCGGGCGCAAGGTCTAAAGACTGTACCCACAGGGTTGCAACATCCACAACCACAAACGGCCTTCAACTCCTGAATTTTGGCTTTAGCCTCTCAAGGCGCATGCATCAAATGCTGGTGAGCTACTTTAATTAGACTAAATTACAGCGACTCCTTGGAGCCTGGACAGGAGCTGCGTGCACGATTTGCTCACGATGTGCTTTCGTGCGGCCCTCTGCGCAGGGCGCCCGGAGCTCCATGCGACCCCTATTCGGTCAACGTAGCGCTGCTAGGGCCGTGCATACAAATGCTGGCCCGGGAGCTGACTTCCGGTGGGTCTAGAAAGCTCCACCACACGTCAGGCACGGCGAGTCAGGTCGCCACATCCCCTCGCAGGACTCCCTTCATGTTAGCAACGCCTTACACCGCCGCTTGAACATTCTACTGTGCAATAACGCACGCGATCTCCAACTCCCAGGCGCCTTTGCTGCGAACTTTCCTCCATGACCCTTCCTGTCCTTGTCGCGAGTCTGCTTCCCCATGCATCCCCATGCCCCGCCCAACTGCCGGCGGCACCACACCTGCTGCCCCTGCCATTGCCCCTGCCGCTGTCTCTGCACCCATACCACGCCCACTTCCGCTTCTCCCAGGGGATTTCGGCTCGGCTCTGGATATGCGCTGTGCTATCTTGTCGCGTTGCTGGTCCTGCTAGCCGTGTAAGTGGGGCCTCCCTCCCCCACCGTTCCCCACCTTTCCCTCTTTCCCACGGCGTGATACGTTTGCCCCCCTTCCCTACTGGACAACACGGCACATGCAGAGACGGGGACCCATGCAGGTCCGCCTGCTAAACCTTCGCAGCTCTCTTCCCTCCGAAACGCCGCATTCCACAATCACCAGAAGAAAACCGCCGTGGTCTTGCGCATCGCACTACCATTACCACCAAGATCCATTCCATTCAACCCCCCTCCATATTGCCGCCACCTCAATGCGACTCAACCGCCCGCGGCTGAACGTCATGCCCAAAAATCCTAAGCAGGCCCCTGGCTCGTCGCACGCTGCTGGGCGCGGGTGTTGCCACCACACTGGTTTCGGTGCCAATGGGACCCTCCGCCGCGGAGAGCTCCGGAGGACCCGGCAGCGCCCCAGCGGGAGGCGTGGCTGTCGACATTGAGCATCGGCAAGGCGAGGTGTGTGCATGTGCTTGTAGTGAGTGGCACACGTGCGACGAGTGGGTGGGTTTTGGGAAGTGCAAAGCGGGCGATGGGGGGTTCAGGAGCGGAGTCTCAGGTTTTTGTCAGGGCTGTCGGTCGGAGTCTTATTGGGCGCGACCTGCCTCGCCTCTCTTGCCTGCCTGTATTGTCCTCTACACAAAACCTTGAAGCCGCCCTGACTTTTTTTCTATGTAAAAAACCACCGCCACCATCAGAACCATCCATCCTTTTCGTTTTACCTAGAAAGCAGAAACACCCTTCATCTCTGCACCCCGTCTCCCGCACCCGCTCTCCCTCCCCGCGATTGCTGCTGGAATGGCAGGTTCGTTTGAGCGAAGAAGAGTGGCGAACCCGCCTGAGTCCTGAGCAGTACCGGGTGTTGCGGCAAGAGGCAACGGAGCGAAGATGGACCAGGTACAAGTGTACGACAGAGGGTGTACGGCATAGACGATGCTTCAAAAACGCCTTGACTTACCCATTTTGGCACGTGCCACCTTACCTCTGTTGATGATGGTGATGAGCTGGCCTGGCCCTGGTAAAGGTCGACGTTAAAAGACGCGTTGACGTGTTGGTTATCTTTGCTCGTTGGTTCGCGAAATGGACTGCCTTTGGTTGGTCATTCATAAGGGATAGCCCAAGAAGCCATTCACTCAGCCCAACATGCAACCGCATACGACCATACACAGGCCCAACCCTGCATGCAATCCCCTTTCCTTCTGCAGTCCGTTCAACTATGAGAAACGACCAGGTGTGTTCAAGTGCGCCGGCTGCGGTGCTCTGCTGTTTAACGCAAGTGCCAAGTTCGAGTCAGGGACCGGTTGGCCGTCATTCTTCCAGCCCTTACCAGGTACGGCACTGTGCCCCGCCGTACGCCGTTGTGCCCGCGGGCGGTAGGCCCGGCGCAAAGATGCGCCTCGGAGATATCTTTTCAGAAATTTGACCCGATATTGGACTTCAACTGCGGCCGCGAGAACATCAGGCCTTTGCTGTGCTGCTTAATCAATCCTGTAATCCGTCCTGGAGCTGTAGTAACGTAATTTTTACGTTCACTCCCCACCACCATTGTAACCCCCTCTACCATTATAAACCGCGTAGGAGCTGTCACAGAGGTGCCCGATTACTCCATCATATTTGCGCCTCGAACGGAGGTCCGCTGCCGCCGCTGCCAGGGCCATCTGGGTCATGTCTTTAACGACGGTCCCGCGCCCACGGGGCTGCGATACTGCATGAACGGCCTGGCGCTGCAGTTCGAGCCCAGTGACGAGGCGCGAAAGGAGGCGTGATGATGCGATAGGAGTGGTGTAGTGGAGTGACGGGTGTTTGGAGCGCATGCAGAGTTGGAGCGAGAGCTTGATAGGGAGCATAACTGTATCTGGTGCTGGGGCCGGAGATTGGAGGGTGGCATGTAGCTTGTGGTCGTGATTAATAATTCATGGTTCTGGTTAGTGGTTGGTAAGCGGGAGGGAGAGAAAGAGAGATTAAATGAGTCGCAGTTGGCTGCACAGTCTCAGACCGGCATCAAGGTGCAGAGAGGCGTAGGGACAGGACGCAGAGGGGAAGAGGACAGAGCTGGCTGACACCGTGCACGTACAGTATTGAAGCTGTACGGGTTCGATACTGTACGTTATTATCATAATAAGACGTGTCACTCACAGGTCGATGCAGGATTTGCTGATCCACCACATTGCGTCGGTAGGTTGGGCCGTTTAGGGAAGGGTGTTGGCAGCGAAGATAGATACTGGGGGGATTTCTGCTTCACTGATGGACTCCGTTGCCGTGCATGTCGGCGACGATAGCGGCCCTAGCAGCTCGGACAGCTGCAACAACACGCGGTGATTTACGGCCCTCTTTGCTTGGCGAGACTTTAGTAGCTGTAATACTAGCGGTAGCAGCAGCAGAAGCTGCACCACCACGCATCGGCGGCAGCAGCGACCGGCAGAACGGGCTTCGTATTGCATGAAGATTAAAGCAGTCAACTTTCCCCGGCTCGCCCGGCGTCGGCCGACATTTCACGTCAAACAACCCCGCGACTAGATATGCATGCACATGATTACGACAATCATGCTGCCATTTACTATTGCACAAACAGGAAATGGTTCTCTAATCACGCCTGGTGTTCCGAACGAACAACCGAACGAACAACCGGCCAAACTGGTTCAGAACACGGGAGGAGAACGGCGGAACAAAGCACCCTTCTTATGCGATAATATTGATGCTGGTGCTATACGAGGGAACCGAAGTCGACGAATAGAAACGAGAGCAGAGCAAAGCAACAGAGGTAAGGAAAGTGGTACCCAATATGATACCCCCCAGTACCCCCAGTGTGGGAAACCTCCACAACATCTGGTGCAACACCCGCAGCTGTATGTGGCCTTCCAACGTAGACTCTTCCTCCCTTTCCCGTACTTCCCTAAAACCTTCCACGATGCGCCCTTTCCAGTTTCAATACCCCAACTGAGACAGCGCACCACCCTCTTCCCCTGCTTCGCCTCCTTCCGCTCAGCTGCTTCGTCCTCCGCAAACCCACACACGCCACTCCCGCCTAGCCTTTTACCGTCTGCCTGCTTCTCTGCCCACATACTCGCCATTGCCGGGCCTAGCTGCAGCTGGCCAGGCAGCTAAAATGCACAAACATCTTACCTTACTCCTCAAAGCCATCCCTACCCTCAAACCACGCCTCCGCGCGACATCTGAGCAGGAGTCCTCCTAGCCATGGATGCTGGCAGTGCGGGTAATTACCTTTCTGACACATATACTTACATACGTACACACACCATGCACACAAGAAGAAAGCTAACCTGCCGACAGCGGGATGGATAGTCCGGACCTCCACAGTCCATCCATTCACCAAGATGGAATACACTGCCCAGGTAATGCCGGAGTGGACTTCCATGCGGCTCTGTTAACCCCTGCCCAAACAATGCAAGGTCTCCGCCACCCCATATTCCCCATCAGTCAGACCCTCCACACGCCGACACGTGTCGAGGGCAGTCTTATTGGCAACCCGTGGAGACCAACCGCAAGCAAGTACATACCTACATACATACGTACAAGTACGCATGTTACTGAATTGTTCCGCGGGGCGATCTCGCTGCCGCAGTCAAGTGAAGGAAAGCAGGACAAGTGAGAAGGAAGATGCGACCGCAAGGCGGGCAAGGCAAGTTTTCCCGAACGACCAAAATCCGCAAATGGTTCCCCATACGCGACATGGCGCACTTGCCACATTACCAACAAGGCTCATCACGCATCACGACCACCACAACTGCAACAGGACTATCGCCACTGCACACCACGGCCATCCCCCATTTCCCTTTCCCCTCCTCTTCCCCCCTCCCCACACACACACATCACCAACGTCACCGCCACAAGTCCCCGATATGGGTTTTTTGAGTATCTTAGCTATCATCCCCTGGACGACGCGTTCCCGTTAGCAGTTATTTGGTTCCCCCGTTATTTGATTCCCAGGAGTTTTCGTAAGCGGTTGACTGAATTATAGTCAAGGACAAAAAATAAATGTTACCTAGTAAATGAAATGCGATGTATTCGTGTTTGCCTGTTTGGAATACCGCCATCTAAATGTATATCTTACCTTCAAGAAGGTAACGCCTGCACTAATCATCATGAAATTTGGAATCTAAAAAACTCCAGACAGAAAATTCTAGTAGCCCTCCCACCCGCCCAAGCATCGCATGCCTGCAGCCAAGCCATCACTAGCCGTACGTTCTCACTCCAAGGCCTTGGCTAATATTGCCCCCAGCCTGGCCTTTAATGGACCGCTAGTGTGAAACCTTTCAACCAGCCGACCCATCAACCCCAACAGGTTCACAGCGACCACCTGGAGGGCAAAAAACTGGGAACACATACATCTATACACACTTACAAACACAGTACGACCTAACACATTTCTGAATAGATTTTCTAGCATCTACACAACGCAAACACGCCGAGCACCTCCTCAAACACATCCCAACACACATCCGTGATCCACATACTTCTCGTCATAAACCTGCCTGTCATACACACACACACACATACTCACACAAAAACACACAAAAAAAAGAACACAAACACGCGCGCGCGCATCCGTTCCATTTCAACATCGTTCGCAAACTGCAAAGTTCCACCAGACGGCTTCCCACCATCCGTCAGAGCACCAGGTCCCAGACCACCACCATCCGTCAAACTACACCACGTTCAAAAACGCATCTTCAAACAGGTGGGATTCCCTACTGCCGCCCTACGCGCGCAGGCCAACCAAGTCGAGTCGAGTCAAGTCCATTCAGTACTAAAGCCCCATTCAGCGCCAAAAGGGTATTATTCAGGATTTTTTTCCAGATCCAGCGGTGTTGGAACCGGTGATACCATCGGATACCAAACAAAGCGAAACCGCTCCGAAATCAGGGGGGGAACTTCCAGTCGCTGGCAACACCATAAGCGACGAAAAATCCATGTCTACCTGCCCGGTGCCTTCCGGGTGCACACCTTCGCACACCACATCCCTTCCTATTCGATCCACATATTCGCTGCATATATCCGCTCTCCTGCGAATTATACATTTATGGCCTATCCTCCTCGGTAGTCCCATTGCCCCAACAACGTTGTACGCGGCCCCGCGCCGGTGGGTGGAAAGCACACATAGCGGGGCACACGACCCGCAATTGCAGCGCACTGCCAGAGAGGATTCGGGCATCCATCTAAATTATGTCCCCACCGCCGACGCCATGACCATCGCCATCACATCCAGGCCCCTTCCCCTCCGACGCCTCCTCCTCCAGCTCTCCCTCCCTAACCGCCACCTCGCTGCCGCCTGCCGTCGCGCCAACATCGCCGTCCCCAGACCCCTGAGGCAGGGCCCCCACCGCCCCCACCGGCGTCGATGACGACGTTACCGAATCATGCAGTACCCTGAAGCCGTCGTACATCCCTGCCGTCTCCGCCGCCGCAATCTTGCCGTCCAGCCGCGCCGTCAACTTTAGAAGTGCAGAACGGATACCCTTGAAGCCGGGACGCGCCTTGGGCTCGAAGCGTAGGCATGCCTGCCCCACCTTGACCAGGCTCTTGCTCACCCACGCCGGCCACTCCAACTTAAGGTTGCCCGTCTTGACGCCCAGAAGCACCTGCCCCGCCTGCAGACCGGCGTAGGGCCGCTCTCCGGTGCACATCTGCCATAAGAGCACCCCGAACGAGTATACGTCCTGCGAAAAGAACGGAAGAGGGGGAAGCGGAGGAGGTGGCGGATGTAAGGAGGTGTGGCCGACCGCGGTGCAACGAGCAGGCGAGAGAAGCTGCCCGGCGACTGGCGAGCGGACAAGTCGAACGGCACCAAATGACAAGCCAGCTCGGAAATTGATTGGAATGTTTAGCAGCAAGAGACTAATAATGAAGCAGGCTAACGGTGCTGGCGCTTCGTCCTGAGGGAGAGGGAAAAAAGGCGAGAAAAAAGAGACAAAAGACGCTGGCCTGGGCTCTCGGGCAATAAGGTGGCGGCAGGAGGGGGTGGAGGAGGCGTAAGGCCAGCCCATGACACAGATCAACATGAGCACTCGTACCCATCCTCGCGTCCGCAGCATCAGTTGCACCGGATAGCCACCACCCGGAGGTTGTTGGGGGTAGTTGGGGGTCGATCAGCTAGATTGCGAAACGAGTCCTAGCCGCCGAGTCCAAAGTCCAAAGAAGAAAGGCAAAACACGTCCCAAACACGTCCCACTCACCGAGGCCTTTCTGCACCGGCCCGCACACGACTCGGGCGCCATGTACACCAACGTGCCCCAATTCTCGTGGGAGATGGTCTGCTCCGAGGCCTCCAATGCCGTGGCGAGACCAAAGTCGGACACCTTGCACACGTAGCCCAGGGGGCTGCCGGCCTGTGTGGTGAGCAACACGTTGCCGGGCTTCAAGTCGCCTGTCGGGGTCGGGGTTGGGGTTGGGTAGTTGGGGTCGGACAGGGTATTCGATGACGGCGAAGGATGGTGGGTAGACCGGAGTGCTGATGAATGGCAGTCTAGGTGCTGTATGAGCAAGAGGGGAGAAAGAGAGAAAAGGACACTTTCACTTTCACAAGGGAACGTATCCATGAACGTAACGCCGCCGACCGACGTATATACATACATACATACATACATACATACATACATACACGTGGCGCTTCATATGGGACCTGCCGAAGCCTTGTATTTTCACTCTCGTCCTCCGACAATGTTGGCCCCTGCACTGAAGCACACTTACACACACATATATACACACAATACACAACGCACACTCACGTCACATACCCCGTCTGAACCCACGTTTCAACGAGTGTGCACATTACCGTGCTGCACCTCACTCACTGCGGTCCAACTGTTTACCAACCTAATCCACGCACCGTGTATAACATTCAGGGCGTGCATGTGCGCCATGCCCGCCACAATCTCCTGTAGGCAGCACAGCAGCGCCCGGGTGGCGGACAACATGGCCAGCGGACCCTTGTCAGGATGAGCCACGTAGTCCCCGGCGTTGATGCGCGGAAGCAGCGTGCCGCTGTCGCAGTACTCCTTTGGGGGGGGATGGAGGGAGGGAAGGAAGGGAAGAAGAGGCGGAGGGAAGATAGGAAGGTTAAGAAACTCGAGATCGGAGCCGATGGGTACGCAAGCACTACACAAGCAGCACCGCGGACATCCGGACAGGAATACATGACCCACGGGTCACTAGCCGTAGCAATAACACCCCAAAGTTCTCACCAACAGTTTTTCCTTCGTAGCATTATGGCATTACCCACCCAGACAGCTTCCCTCGCCCTCCTTCCATACCATGATGACCTTGGCAAGGAAGCGACCCGGCTGTGCGTCCATGTGGTACAGAATATCCTGGAAAGGAACTGGCTCCGCACGCTGTGAACCGCCGCCGCCGCCACTGGCCCTGCTGCCGCCCCCAACCCCGCCGCTACGGTTCATGTTCTCCGGAGCGCCGGCGGCGCCACTGCGACACTGCCCCACGGCGTCCGGGTTGAGCTGCGCACCATCCCTGGAAGCATTGTGCGGCGCTCGCAAGCCCAGGAGCACTGATGGGGGTACGACGTTGGCGCCGATGGCCGGTACCGTCCAGGCATGTACTGCGGGCTGATGAGTCTCTTGCACCGCCGCCATGTGTGACGTGCAAGCTGTCAACGAGTCCATTGGTGACAGGGGTGGAGGGCCCCCCAACGACAAGGGCGCGGCGGCCAGACCTGCGGCGGCGGGTTCGACAGCCTTTCCCGCTGCCGGATCATCCAGGGCCGCCCCCGCTGTCTGGGCAACACCGCTGGCCCCGCCGCCGCCACTGTCACCAGCAGTGCATTGCGCTGAACCGTCGGCGGTTCCGGAGCTTTCCAGTTCCCCAACTGTCCCAACCATTTGAGCACTTGCCCGGTGACCCAACGCCATCTTCTGCTCCCGCAGTAGCTGCTGCTGGTGCTCCTCAGTCATGAGGTTACGTTCTCCTGGCTGCCCAGCTTTATGGTCGCCATATGCGCTCAGGATACGCGCACTGCCGTCGCTGCCATTGGCGCCGCAGCTAATGTCGCCACCGCCAGTGCCGCCGCCGCCACGGCCCACGCCACACCTAGGTTCCTGTTCGCTCATGCCTGGGGACGACAGCGGCAGCCGCAGCACAGGGCCCTGCTGGCCAGCTCCCCCAGCATCACTCACCGCGCCGCCACCACCACACGGTTGCATCCACGACGGCTCGAGCCGTACTGACATAGCCTTGCTTGCCGTCGCGCTACCGACACCGCTCCGAGACGAACCACTGCACACGGGCGCCCACAGCTCGCTCTGCTCCGTCGCACACGGCGGCTCGCTGGCAGGACTGCCAACCTCGAACGGCCTCGACAGCCCGCAGGGATGCGTATTGAGGCCTGTTGAGGCCGCTAGCATACAACCCAGTGTGCGCTGCTGTACCCGCTTGAAGCCGTCAAGGGGCATCAGTCTTCCAGAGCCGCTACAGCCGCCTGCTGCTGCTGCTACTGCTGCTTGAAACCGCTGCTCCTGTGGATGCGTCACCGACACTCCCACGGGCTGCTGGCGCTCAACCAACGGCGGCGCGGCGAGGGTTGTGCTCAGATGCTCCTGATGCTCGGGGTTAGTGCTTTTCCGCACGAGTAGGGGTCCCACGGCGCCATCAATGGGTACCATCGGACCCACGGAACTCTGCTGAAGAGCGGATTGCTGATTGTTTCCGGGGTTGTTTCCGTGGAAGGGCGGCATGACACGGTACTCCGCTTCGTTCGTTGCAGTAGTTGTGGCGGTTGCGGCGGTTGCGCGGAACGTGTGGCTACCGATGCGAACAGGAAGTTCGCCACAGTTGGAGGTAGTCGTGCTGGCGGACGAAGCCGCTTGCGAGCCGGTCGTGGTGAGGAGTTGGGGAAGTGCAGGGGAAGGGCCGTATGCACCTGGGAGCAGCTGGCTGGGGATCAGGGCAACTGCTGCTGCGGCGGCGGTGTCGAGGGAAGCTTTATGTTGTTCGCCCCATTCACGGTACGTGTTGGGGGTGACTAGCGTAACATCCATGGCAAGGGTGCGCACAAGGTTGGGGTGCGACACAAGCTTAGATAGCAGAGCTTCCTTGGCGCGCTGCCAGAGCTGCTGGGGTGTATTGCAGATCATGAACTTTACGGCTACGCTGATAGGTGCGGGAAGGGTTGCTTCCTTGCTGCCGTCGCAGAGCTGTGTGACAGAAGCCCGGTACACGAGGCCCGTGGCGCCCTGCCCGACAAACTGCATCTCCCCAAGTTCCGCCTTCAGCTGCCCGTGCGACGTCGGGGGAATACTAGAGCGAGCTGTAGTCGGTGGTGCGGACTTGACGGACTCTGGGACCTCGGCGAGCGCCGCGGTACCGATGCATTCTTCCGTTGCCCGACTTGCCGCAACGGCGGAAACGGCTACGGATGTCTGGACACAGTAAGGACGTATCAAAGGGTAAGAAACATATGGCAGATTGCGGCATTTGGCAAGCTTCTATCCGTAACGGATCCAATTACCTGTCCTGCACGCAAAAGCAGTTCGCGATTGCCGAACGCAGGCCCAGCAGCAGCATGAAGTGTCCTTGGAATTTGCCCTGGTGACGACAAGGATGCACTTCCACCTACAGTGCTTAGATCCTTCTCGCCAGCTTTTTTAAGCTGTGCTTCTTGGACAGGAGCAGCCACCACATTAATAGTGTCATTACCAGAGACCGACCGGCTTACAGCTGCTATGAAGTCATCGTAAAGCTCGTGTTTGCGTACGTTAGTGCCATTGAATAATGGTATTGGTTTTGCGGCCTTAGCAGATGGCAACGGTGCCGGGGGATTCGGTGAACATTGCCCTTGCCGACCACCGAAACAGCCACAGAGGGACATCAGCATTGTAAGGTCTCATACATCAGCAAACTCCTATGCATGTCTCAAACCGCAACTCGGAGACACCAAAATAGCCTAAAGAGGTATTATAGTTCAGCATCGATCAGAACCATATTCCGATAAAAGCATATTTATATCCGTTTATCTCGCGTCCCTTTCGCGGCGATACGTCAGTTTACCAATAATATAAATTTGCTGTACGGCCTAAATACGAGATGTACATAGGAAGAAGACTAACAGCCAGCGCCAGGCATTTTTCTGGCGTAGTCATGGCTATCATGGTTTAGCTGAGCATTAGCGGATAAGAGTCGAACCATCTGCCAGCTGATGACTACAACATTTATAATATTGCCAAGCAACCAGATCTTCACAGCTTATTACGCACCATCAGCATCGTTTCACGTTTGTTTGTGTTTACCTCTATCAAAGCCACTTGCAGGGCATTCATGAAGTTTTCTTGCAACTTTTGTGGCTTTCAAAATCCGCTATCAAAATTCCGCTATCAAAACTTCATCAAGTTGACAACGATTATGTTGTTTTGGGCGGCAAGTTAGGGCCTTTTCTTTGCTGTTGTACACATTTTTAACAAAATGCAGAGGTCCAAGTCCGTTTCATCAGCCGAATCCGGTATATAGATGATCTCTGCCATTGCGTTTTTGTTCCTTGCCAAAGTTACACAGCTTATATGTGCTGTGAGGTACGGTACCTGTACATTAACAACGTTACTCGCGTTGCGTTAAGTAAATTGTGCGTGAATGTGATCAATGCAAAATGGTTGTGAAACTTAACAACATTTTTGTGTTATATGCATCGATGTGCAATTATAGAGGCCAATAACTGCTAGGGCCCCTAGGTGCTTCTACCCGCCCTAGGCAGGCAAGAGCTGATGTATAGATAATCTCAATACCTTACATGCATTTATTAGCATTGTCGCATGGTGCATGGCAGGGCGTGTACTCGTTATCCAGGGCTGGGAGTAGGACTACCACAGCCCCAAGTGCCCTAAATCTCCTAGCTTGGCAAAGATTCACCAAGGTGCTAGCCTTCGTTAAATTGCGAGAAGGCGTCCATGCGTGTACATAGGGTTTCGGCACCGCTAACCCTTTCAAACACCCCTCTTACACTCTTGCAGTTTCCCAGGATTGTTGTCTGTGACAGTGCGGCGCTGAGGGGACCCAGACCTGGATACGGCACACTTTAGCAGGAAGGTATCTTTACACGAATACTCCATGCCAGGCTCTGCCTAAGAGCACACAAAGGGCATATTATGAGCAGCCCTAAGGGCCGCAGCCAGCTGGCAGCCAAATGCATGTTACGTTTGCAAATCCGCCTTTGGCACAGCGCTAGCGAGCCTTAGCTAGCAAGCAAGCAAGCAAAGAAAAGTGAGGTGTAAGGGTGTTGAGCACCTGGGGGAGCTGGGTGGCAATCGTCCCGACGCCGGTGCAGGTGCAGCAAGATTGCTTACGGAACTTGACGGCTGCCGCCTCATGCACTGCACGGCAAACAACCAATCAGGGGATGCTGCTCGCCCATCCGGCTGCTGAAAAAGCTAAATAGTCAGCATCGCACCTGCGGTGCGCAGACTTCTTAACCGCAGCTTCCGAATCCCAACTACGCAGTAACGGCTACCGAATCGGTAATTCTGGTTCTAGATCTAGGCTCTGGCAGCGGCTCCCCAGCACCTGAGGCCTGCTGTGCCCCATGGGGTCACGTAGGCACTAGTTCCGCCGACCCGGGATGTAGCTCCCCCCTTAGGCGGTGACAGGGTACCACCACAGCACCCTAATACCAATTACCGGTTTACCACTCGCATGGGAGTCGATCAGGCTGCGTATTGGAGGGGGGAGCTCGGGACGCTTGTGTGAATGAATCGGTCATCACGCACGCAAACCAAAAAGGCGGCTGCGGTACGCGGGACCTGGGGGAAATGCCCCTGCCTCCCGCCCCCTCAAGTTGATGTGTTGATGTTGGCCGGGCCTGACCTGCTCTGGCCAGGCGCACTTCTGCTAGTGCCTACGCTGCTGGCACTGCGTTCCGGTGGTGCATACGGGATACCCCTACACTGGGGGGGGTGTAGCCGTGCAGGTTGAGGGGAACGAAGAACCAGGGGGTCCTCCTTGAAGGGAAGCAGGTCAGGAGCTCGACATCCTTAGAATGACGGACCATACGAAATGGCTTAGCGTAAAATTTGCATATTGGCTAATAGCAGCGTCCCTTGTGCGAATTCAAACTTGCTACATAATGAGTGCGGTTCGAGTCGAGCCCTAGCTAACCGCATGGATGGTTGCGGCACAGGATAGTTTCATGACTTTGGGCGGCAAGATTAGCTCCAGAATTAGCTCCCACCCAGCTGAAATGCCTTCGGACGTTTTCAGGCACAGGTAATATGCAACTGTATATAAGCCGCGAAGAGGTCCTGATGAAGCAGTTTTCCAGTCTCACCTCATTCGGCACACAACCCCGAGGAACTCCGCCTTATTTTACAGTTTTCTCTAAATTCAAATATTTAAACCCTTAACATGAATCGTATTGCATAACGTCCTCCATGCGTCGTGTGTCGTATGCGTTGCGGCTGTCGTTATTCTTAATGGGAATTCCGAATTCTGATATCGCCGCAACCTCTACTGCAGTAGAGGTTGCGGCAGCTGCCGCAATACCTTATGCTAAGCCCTTACCGCCCCAGCCATCTAGCCTTCAGAGTTCATCGTAGGAAATCTCAGCATCATGATGCGTAAAGAGCACGGGCCATATACCGCCCGTGCTCCCTCAGCAATGTGCTGTTACAAAGCGGGGGCTTACAAATTTAAGAAATAGATCAGTATTCATATTGCATAATTGATAACATAGATCTATGTTAGATATGTACATGAAATCTATAGTATTCAATTTTAGGAGATTACCGTAGTGACAGGAAATGTTCGTGATTTTAATTTCGTGACGGCATCACGAAATTATGTCACATATAAATTACAAGCTGTTCCAGGCGATGGTCGTCACGAATATATGTGTGCTCCGAAGCCAAATCGTATAATGCCTTCATCACAGAAATTACTCGTCGAATTCCACTTTTCTGGCCATATATACATCCATAGTAATTGAACGGACATGGATCCGAGGGCCAAGCGGCCTAAGCAACAAAGCCTCCTTCAATGCGGACTCTTCACACTTGCTCGCGGCGCCCCAGCTACGGATAGAGCTGGTTTTGCCGCTCCTAAATAACCGTGCATGCATTGGCCAGATTTTGCGTCAATCGGCGTTCTGAGTCGGACCCATTAACGAATATTGCAGGCACCGTTGCTTCGGTTGCGTTGGCTTCTCACGAATTCAACAGTTTCACCAATAATTTCGGGTGTAATTTTGAGGGTGTCTCGAACAATAAAATCACGAACATTTCCTGTCACTACGGTACATGGGTTACTATTGTAAACTAGTACTGAGCCCTACAACAAGCCATGCATGGTTTATGCGAGCTGAAGGCCCATAGGGCTGCGAAGGGTGTGCGTCTCATTGTGCTCCCGGAGCAGAGCACAGGCACAGGCACAGGCACAGGCAGCCCTAAGCCACCCGCTGCGTGATGCGCCTTTCCGTCTTTTCGCTATCCCACGTTTCCAGTCTTCACTTACGTTGGGTTGCCGCATTTTCGCTACCCCAGCTGCCCCTCTCTCACAACCGCGGGAATTCTTGGCGATGGTCCCAGCAAAACCCGCGTATGGTCTCAGCAAAACCCTAAATCCCCGGCGCGCGCTTCGAACGCTCACTGCGACCATGAAGAGCACACCTTGGCGGAAAGAGGCCTCGACAATGGACTGCGCCTTCTCTCATCGGTCTTTTTCCATTTCGGCATGCATCCCCGCATAAAAAGCTTATGCGCGAGAGGGGGTATGGCAGCTGGTGAAGTGTCCCTGCATGCGGCTGCCTGCCTGCATTTGTCTATCTGTTTGTGCGTCTGTCAGAGGTGTGTGTCTGTCGAGATGATGCCACTGCACCTGCAACAATGTAAGTGCCTGCGTGTAAATACCCTACCTGAGACAATGACGACTGTCGGAGAGCTCTTATTGGATATGCGAGAATGGCGGGCAATAGAGCACCAAGGCCACAGGCACGGCCAAGGCCACCAGAAGATTAAAAACTCGCGTGGGAGGGAAGGCTCCACGCTTGTGTGCTCCTTCTGTGGCGGCATCGGCAGTCGCAGTCTTACGGCGCCTTTCCTCGCCCCCTCCCAGAGATCAGGAGATTAGCTTACAGGCACGTGTGTACGTGTTACGGCTATGTTACAGCCGTCCTTACAGGGCGCGCGCCGGCCTCATTCAACAATATAATAAGGCTTTACCTGTTGCCATTCGTTTTAATGCACAAGTTCACTTCATCACTCATATCTTTCTAAAATTTTCCCTTCAAAAAATCCAGAGTCCCAAGTCCCAAGGCCTCCGGAAGTACCCGGAGTCCGTTAGCTCACCCCCAATACACCGCAGATATCTCTAGAAGCGTGAGCCGCCGCGCCCCCTCAACAAGCTCACTTCCAAGGAGTAAGATCAGTCCCGGATAAAGCTCCCTAACTCTTCACACCCATGCTCACGCACGCCGGGTCGACATGGCGTCGGGAAATACACACACAAACACACACAAACACACACACACATACGCACGACACCTCAAGACATATATACAGCTTTCTGACTGACAACAGACAGATAGACAGACAGATATAGACAGACAGATAGACAGACAGATAGACAGACACGCGCGCGCGATAAAGCTGTGGATGTGACAGCTCCAACCCTTAAGCCTGAGGTTCGCGACTCAGTTCATTTAACCCGCACACAGACACACACACAGACACACACACACACACAGACACACAAGCGTGCGCACGCACTTGTGTATTAAACAGATCATCAATAACAATGATGACGACCACGGACCAACCACGGAAATTCAGGCAAGCTGATTTCATCAACCCGATGAAAGTCGCCAATTGTTTTGCACTCTCTTGTGCCCGACATCACACATGCTATATACATGAAACAGTCCCGCTCTAACGACGTTTACAACAACCACCTCTTTCATCCCATTCCGCAGCTCGGAGCCCTGTCGTCATAGAGCCTCTTCGTTCCGTTTCTTACTACCTTTCTTACCACGTACTTTGGAGCCACTAGCAACAGCAGCAGCAGCACCACCACTAGCGCCAGCAATAGGAGCAGCCCCCATCCCCTACCGGGCTCCCCGGCCGTTCCCATTCGCCGCGCCACGGTAGGGGCTGCCCCGCTTGCCCCCGGGCCCCTCGCCCGGCTCGGCAGAATTCACACGGGAACCCCTGGCCCCCCCTCCGGCCCCGCCCCCGGCGGCCCCTACCCCTGGCCCACTCCAACTGATAGTCCGACCCATAGCCCGTCCGCCCGGTGGTGGCGCCGGCGCAGCGACATCGTACCCGCCGCCGCCAGAGACCCGGCTCGGACCCCTGGGCGGAGTACCCAGCGCATTGCCGCCGCCGCCTCGGCGTGAGGATAGAGGCTGTCCGCCGCTGCCGCTGCTGCCGCCGCCACCGGCGCCATCGCCGGCACTTGCGCCGGCTCCGCCGCCGCCGCCGCCGCCGGGGCTGTCCCAGACTGCCCAGGCCGCCTGACGTCGTGCCTGCTGCACCGCGGGGCCGCAGCGACTCCGTCGGAGGGCTGAGTCGTCGAGTGCCTGTCAGGGGCGCCCGGGCCACACGTGGAAAAGGTGGAGCAGCAGCGCAGTGAATCAGAGATGGGCGTGGACTGCGTGGCGGTGTGTGCAGCTCTCGGAGTTTTAGAAAAAACATGGGTTGGGGAGCGCGGGATGCTTTATCTCAGCGGTCGCTGCTTTCTTTTTTGACTCCATCCTCTTGACCATGGAGACACACACATGCACACAGTGGGCAGCACAAAGCCAGCAACCACAAGCGCACGTCGCATACCTACCTAACTACATACATACATACATACATACCTGCAACACATCCAGGAGTTCCTCCATGTCCGGTGCCTGCAGGGGCGACCCCCCCGGGCCCGGGGCCGCTCCCACAGAGTACGGATTCGGCAGCGGCGGCAGCAGGCACTCCACGCCGCCGCCGTCCGCGCCGTACACAGGGCCCGTTGCCGCTGCGGCCGCTGCGGCGGCCGCTGTTGCCGCCCCCAACATGACCTCAGTATCCGTGCTGCGTCGTACAAGGCTGCGCGGCGTCTGTTCAGCGCCGCGGCGCGTTGTGGCGACCCGCGGAGTCATCGCCACGTCCGGCTCGCCGCCGCCACCGCCGTACGGTCCTGCACCCAGCCGCGATGCCTCAGTCGCCTCGCCTGGAGAGGTCCAGTTCGTACCGGCGACGGCGCCGCCAGCTCCACCCATACCTGACCCGTAGGTCCCCATAGCCGTCCTGATGCCGTTACTGCCGGCCGACCGGTCGCTGCTGCCGCCGCTGCGGTTCGAGGGCTGCTGCTGCTGCTGCGGCGGCGGCGCGCCCGCTGGCACGGAGGACAACAGACGGCGACTGCTGCCGCTGCCGGGAATGTACGGTGAAAAAGTCGCGGACTGCGCCACCGGCGGCGCTGGGGCTTGGTACGGCGTCAGCTGCTGAGTCATCATGCTGGCGGAGACAGCACCGGAGGCGCCGGCGGCTGCTGGCGGTGGTGGTGGTGGTGGGGCGGCGTGCATTTCCCGGATCCGCTGCATGAGGTGTTTCCGCTCCGAAATCATGGACCGAACAAGCTGGGCCACCTGGCCCCGAGCCTGTGTGTGTGTGTGTGTGTGAGAGAGAGAGAGAGTGTGTATGTGTCTGTGGTCAGTAACAATCGAATTGTGGCGTGTGAGTTGTTTTGCACGGAACAATAGCAGCGGCATGTTACCGGAACAAGCGAAGATGTGAAGAAGTCGTGTGTTGCGAGCAAGACCAGAAAGTGACGGCACACCAGCCACAGCCGCTCTGGTCGACTGATGACACGCCGAAGTAACTACCCACTACTCAAAATGAGACGAGATGGATGGGAATCGGAGGGAGTCGTTAGTAAGGGACGATGGGGGGAGGAACACGCCGCACGATCATCCGCTCCTAATAAGGCAACCTAGGCCACCATCCTACCCCGGCCGGCCGAAGCCGCCCAGGGGCCCCATCAGACCCAGCCCAGCCCAGCCGCGCAGGAGTACGCACCTCTCGGCCGTAGCAGTCGCCGCTGCTGCCGCAACTGCTGGTGCCGTCACTGCCGCCGCCACTGCTGGCGTTGCGAGCACCACCGCCGCTGCCATTTCCGCCACGAACGCAGCCAGACCGTCGGTCCAGCAGCGCCACCAGGAGGCAGCCCTCCAGGCATGCTAGCTCCGAAACCACTGGCCGCAGCCAGCCGCTAGCCGCCACAGTCGCTGGTGGTGGTAGTTGTGGTGGCGGTGGTGCTGGCACTCCTGTCGGGTAGTAGGAGAAGTTGCTGACGTCCGTGGCTCGCGGCAGCCGGGAAGGGCTGCTAGTTGCCCCTCGTGACCGCTGTGTCTGCAACGCACAATACATAAACGCACACACCACGCAACAAGCAGCAGAGCAGCAGGAGCAGCAAAAGCAGCAGCAGGAGTAGGAAAAAAAGACAGAGGAAAGTCAAAGCAGAATGACATGGCCGAAACAGGGTGATAACCTGATCAACGGAATTACCGAATTCACAACAACGGCATACATACGGGTTGGGGTGGGGGGCCTTCAACTACATGCAGAGAAGAGGTAGGTTAGGAGGGCAGGCAAGGGGACTCGTGTGGCTGTGTGTTGGTGTCCCTTCCCCCACAAATCTCACCGGGAGGAGGAACACGCAGCAAAAGTAGCTAGCCTGGCAACGCAACGAAATTAACGCGCCAAGACCTGCACATTGCGGCCTTTGCGAGTCGCAGCTTGAAAACAAACACACACACCTATGACATAAATATAATATTATACATGTACAATATTACATATACACATCATACACAGGCACGCGTGCGCATGTGTGCACTCACGCACCGGCGGGCTGACGTCTCGCTCCCCTTGCAGCCCGGTTCCCGCGCCGGCTAGCAACAGCTGATGGCGGGACAGGAAAGCATCCAGCGCTGCCGCCACGCGGTCAGGATCCGGATCCCGCAGTCGTACGCCGAGAGCCGCTTCTAGCTCGGAAACCACACTGCCGCTGCCAGCCGCGCCGTTGCCCTCCAGCGCCACCGTGGCAGCGCCGTCAAGGGCTCCCCCGCCTCCGCCATCCGGAAGCATTGTGGACGTCTTGTGTCGCGTGGGGCTGACGTCCCCGTCCCGGTGTTCCGCCCTACATTGCGCCGCCGCCGGGGCCGCTGCCGAAGACGCGGAGGAGGCAGAGGAGAAGGACGAACGGAAGGAGGAAGGCGACACCGGCTGGAAGTACCGCTCCCGCAGCTCGGCCAGCAGCCCCACCGCCGATACCACAGCTTCCTGCCGGGCTGCAGCTGCAGCAGCAGCTGCGGCGGTTGCGGCAGCCTCCTCGGCGGCGGCGGCTGCTGCCGCCGCCGCCGCTGCGCCGCGCCATGTCACATCCCCTCCTCCGCCTCCGCCAACCCCGCCACGCCAGGGCGGCTCTCCGCCACCGCCGCGGCGCGCCGCCGTTGCCGCCGCCGCCAGCTCCGATTCGGTGCGTCGCAGCGCATTTCGGGCAGCCTCCAGCTCCCGCCTGCTTCCCTGGAGCACTGCCTGCTGCTCAGCCGCCTCATCCTGCAGCACCGCCGCCAGGATGTCCGAAATCAACAAAAACAAAAAAGGCACCCAATCCACCCGCGAAAAAAGCACGCTGAGGAACCTCGCAGCCCTGCCACCGCCGAGCTTCATACCACACAGCCACACGCCGCGCAATGCACCTATGCAAGAACCTGTGCTTCCAGCCTGGCCTGGCCTGGTCTTTGCGACGGTGCGCCGTCCTGCCCTCGCTCTGTCACGACACTACACCTGAAATCTCCTCTCCACGGCCTCATTGCTTGCCGCCATTAGCGGCCCTCAGATATCGACAACGATAAGTCACCTATCTTAACGTCTATCCTACCATGACAAAGGCCATCCCCCCGCCTCTGTGTGAAAGTTTGAAAATCCCTAAGACCCAGAAGAAAGGCGGGGCTGTTGATATTACATTTTTGTGGGACGAGCAGCGGGTGGGGAATTAACTTCACACAAGCTTGCCGGGGCACACAGCGGAGACAGACGGGAAAGAGGGCGTCACGCGGCGTGAGCGCCACGCAATACGAGCCAGCTGGGTTGAGAAATCGGAAAATAAAATGCAGCGAGTGCCGGTGGTGCCGATGCGTACTCAAAGGCCAAGGAAAGGGGAAGGGGAAGGCGCTGGGCCCCCCCTCTCCCCCACACACAGCGCACCACAGCGCACCTTGGCCTTGCGTAGCTGTGCCTTCAGCCTTTCCGCCGTGTCACGCAGCCGCTCGCACTCCGCCACCGTGGTCCGCAGCTCCGCGCGGGTCGCCTCCAGCTGCTCGCCAAGGTCCTTGTGGGAGGTGGACAGGGCCTGCAGGTGGGCACAAGAGGCATGCAGGCGCGCGTGAACGCGTGTGAGCTCGGGGCGCGTTGCTTTATCACACAGTTGATGTGGGCTAGCTAAAAATAATTATACATATACATATGTATAATATGTGTTACATGTATACATGTGTGTAGTCTGTGCCTGGCTGTGCGGTCATAGGACGCTTCCAATCCCTTTCTCCTCCGTGTTGCGGCACCGCGGCAACAAAACACACCACACGATCGAAGACATGGACGGCAGGGACCTGTGCGCATCCTCAGCGCATCGGGAAGGGGTGTGCGCCCTGCCAGCAGGGCAGGGCGCGGGATAGGATGCACCAGGCAGTTTTCGGAGCGAAGAAGGAAGAGCGCCGTGGGCTTCTGCACGCGCTGCACGGTGACACGGTGACACAGAGGCGGTTCTGTGCCCCGACATGTTTTGGTCTATAGGCCGGAGGGTGGAGGCCATGGTGCTGCCGCGAGCCCCGCTCCTTAACCCTAAAGCCCATACATACGGTCGAGTCCCAATCCCAGTCCCAGGCCGAGTCCCAATCGCAGCAGCCGCCACCATACCCGCAATTCCGATGCCGCCGCCGCTGCGTCCGCCTCCGCGCGCCGCCGCGCCGCCACGTCCTCCGCAACCTGCCGCCCCGCCGCCTCTGCCGCCGCGCGCGCCTCCTCCAGCGCCGTACGCAGCCCCTCTGCCTCATCCATGAGCGCCATCACGCCGCTGGGCCCCAACCGCTGCAGTCGCTCGTCCAGGCCAATCAATTTAGCCGTCCGGTCGGCATGTGCACGGGCGGCGGTACGGCAGGCCGCATGGAATCCGCCTATAGCTGCGTACGCGGCCTCCCTCATGGCCCGGAGCTCCTCTTGGAAGCATTCGCGCATTGAGGCGAGGTCGGCCTGCGCGCATCATCACACGTATCGGAAAGCAAAAGAGATCTCCCTCTGAATCTCCCCGATCTCCCATGTACGCAAACGGCATGAAACGAAACCAGGCAAACCAGACCAAAAATCAAGAAACAAAAATTACGTTGCCCACGGGGGTTCCAGATCATGTCAAAGATAATGTGATGGCGTAGCCATCCCCCGATCGCAGGGCCTTATCCGACCCCACGCGAAGCCCGGAGAAGGCGGATACATTATTATTAATTACGAATTCTCATTAGGAAAGCTGACAGGAAGGCGCGGCAGGGAACAGCCAATAAGAAGTAAGAGGAAATAAGAGGTGTGGTGCGGTGTGGTATGAGTGATGATGTCTGGTTCGTCTGACGCCCGTACCTGAAGCCCTGCTAGATCCTCGCCCACCGCCGTCAACTCCGGCTCAACCGCGGCACACATCTCCCCCGCCGCCGCAGTCACCTCCTCCAGTGCAGCAGCCACCACCGCCGCCATCTCCCCCGCGCCCGCGCGCTCCGCATCGATCTCCCCCCGTGCCGCCGCCAACGCCGCCGCATGCGCCTCCTCCAACGCGCACACCCGCGCCTCGACCTCCGCGCGCATGTGCTCCTTTTCCTCCGCCGCTTGCTGCGCCGCTGCCTGGCGATGAAATTCCGCCTCCGCCGCGGCGGCCGCCAGCGCGGCGGCGTGCGCCGCCGCCGCGTCCACCGCCTCCGCCCGCACGCGCTCCAGCTCGGCCTGCGTCTTCGCCAGCGCCTTGGCCTTGTTGTCAGCGGAGTTCTGGGCGTTGGCTAGGAGCTGCTTGGACAACTGCATGGTGGTGGGTGGCACACCGACGGGTTGGAGCTAGGAGATTGGCAGCATGCCCGAAAGCCAAGGAGACGAGATTCAGCGAGCCAGCCAGCAAGCCAGACGGCCGCGGGATACAGGTAAGATAATTGGGGACGGGTTGTATGCGCACCCAGATGGGTTGGGGACGGGTGGAGAAGGGGTTCCATCACACCGCGCGGTGCCCTCGCTGACAACCCCACCCACTACCACGCACCCCCGCTCTCACACCACCCCCACTATTACCCCACCCACCCAATCCCCACTTACCGCGAGCGCCTCTTTTGTTTCCCGCAGCTCCCGGGACTGCTGCCCCGACCTGCCGCTAAGAGACTTCTTCTCCTTCTCCACGTCCGCCAGCTGTCCGCGGAACTTATCCAACTGCAGAGGGGGCGCGGGGACCCGGGAGTGAGGGGGTGAAGGGCTGAGGGGGTGAAGGGCTGAGGGGAGGCAGAACAGCAGGTCGGGAAGCAAAACCAAGCCAAGGGTGCTTTCCAGGACAGCACATGCTGCCCTCGGCACAAGAGTTTCACCGACCCCACCCTCATCCCATCCCACCCACCCAATGTTCGCTTTTTTCCAAATGGCCTCTCACCAGTCCGACCACCCTATCCAGGACCGGGTCGTCCCGCAGCTAACTGTCGCGCTCCTTTTGGCAGCCGCAGCGTCCTTTTACAAACCGCTATCTACCGATTTACCGCCGAGGGAGGTGACGCCGAGTCCAGGTTTTCCCGCCGACGCACTCTCTCTCTCTCTCTCTCTCTCTCTCTCTCTCTCTCTCTCTCTCTCTCTCACACACACACACACACACTATCCCTGTCTTGGAACAATCCCTGCAGTTGCGACATTGCTTTGGACCCCTCCAGCAATCTGGTGCTTTGGGTGGGTCGGCAATTGACAACCAACAGCCTCTGCTTCTTCCACATGTTCGCATTCGCACCGCCCGCCCCCAACCCACCTTGGCCTGCAGCCGCCGCTTGTCCTCCTCCAGCGTCCTCCGAAGCTCCTCAATCGCCTTCTCGTTGCGCTCCTCAGCCGCCTTGAGCGCCTTCGTGTGCCGCTCCGTCTGCGCGCCGCGAAACCGCTCCTCCGCCTCAGCGGCAGCCGCCGCCACAGCATCTGCCGTGCGCTGCCGTGCCACGGCCGCCACGGACTCGACGTCGAGGCGCATGTGTTCCAACTTGGCGGAGTTTGCGGGCTCACCGAGGACAGCAGCGAGGACCTCCTGGAAGGCGTGAGAGAGGGCGCGAGAGGGAGGGAGGGGGTTAAGGGGAAGGAAAACCGCTTCATGGGCCTAACGGACACGACACAAAAGGAAGACGCGAAACGGCGAATTGGGTCAGGAAGAAATGCGCCTCGTTGTGTGTGACATGCGAAACTAATTCATCTCCTTCGCATACAACCTCTGTAACCAGCAGCTCCTTTTTCCTACAGCCCTCAACCAATCAACCAATCAACAATGAAACCATACACTTTATGATTCTTACCTAGCTTTTCACACAACGACAGGCCGTCTCATCGTATCCCTGAGGAATCCTGTAAGAGCTCACGAACCCCGGCACACACTTCCGCGACCCCGCACAGCTGTTGCCCCATTTCCTCACTTCCTTCCAACAACTGTAAGCCCCCCCACTCTTCCGTATTCCCCCGTGCCCATCTTTCCCTCCCTCATCCTCTTCATCCCATCTCCTGCGTCGCTTGCATCCTCGACGGCCGCCTGTCAAAATGTCCATCTTTTTGTGTCTTCCCCCCTTTGCTTCTTCCCCCACTGGAGAGAACAAATCTACAGACGGACGGATAAATTTTCTCTTGGTATTCCGCGTCCTCTCGGTACTGGATGGCCCACCTTGAGTACCATCCGCCGGTGCGCCTCCAGGTCCACACCCGCACCCGCCACGTTGCCCGCGTGGTGAGCCATCCATGGCGCCGCAGGTTGGCCCGTCGTCGCCACCGCCGCCGCAGCAGCAGCGGCGCGTGACGCCGCCGCTGCAATGCCGCCGAACCCGCCGCCACCACCGCCGAGCTTTATCTGTGCTACGGCCTTAGGGCTCGCGCTCGCTCCAGGACTGCCACCTGGCGCTGCAGCTGCGCTACTGGCGCCGCCGGGGCTGGGTGTGCTGCTCATGCTGCCGCTACTGGCGCCACCGCCAGCTCCGTTGCTCAAAGCGGCCGCCGGGCCTGGAGATGTGCCGGGGCTAGGGCTGGGGCTACGGCTATTGCCTGTGACCCTGCCGCTGCTGGCACCGCCGCCGCCAGGAGCTGCTGTCCCGGGGCCAGCCGCTGATGCGCCGCCTTTGACCCAGCTGCCAGCGGGGCTCTGATCCTGCCTCCCAACTGCCGTAGGGCTCCTGCTCAACGGGACATCGATTAAATCCCAACTGTCGCTGCTCGCCGCACGCGCCGCATAGGCAGTGGCTGTGGCCTGGCCTGTCGTGGCCTGTGTGGAGCCGTTAGCAGCTGTTGCCTTGCCGCCTGGCAGGGCCGTGGGCGCGGAAGCCGGCGTATCCGCCTTTACGCCTGCGGGAGATGCTGGTTGGTTGGTGGCGATGATGGTGCGGGCGGGGGAAGGTTGCAGAGGACGGGAGGGAAGGGAGAACTGAAGATGCGGGGCTACATGCGAGGGCGGACGGACGGTGGCATGTGCGGGGGCATATTTCAGGCTGCTCTCCCTTATCCATCCCCAATTCACGCCAATAACCTTTCCCAACTCCACCATCCCCAACTCCCCCCTCCCCTCTCCGGGACATTTGCCTATCTATACCTCCGTCCACCGGCTGCCAGCCCAGCCCAGCCCCCGGGCCCCTTCTCTAGCCCTTTTTCCTTTCCGCTCTAACGGCCCGGGGCCCCTAAAGCTGCAGCCCCCCGGAGAGAGTTGTCCTATCGCGGTTGCGAATACAAGGCCATACAGGACCGTTAAGATAGCAGGACAGAGCTTCTTGCACGCCTGTCGATTTACTGTCCGGTGCCTCTGTTTGACAGAGGCGCAGGACCAGGTAATTCAACAGGGAGATCCATAGGACAGGACAGCACCACAGCTATGTCAGGCAGCGCGCGGGGGAGCCGTACCCGTGGGCGGCGCTCGCGGTGTACCCCAGCTCAGCTTCCTGGGCAGCCGCGAAGGAGCCTCCGCAACGGTGGGCGTCGGCTGGGGCCATGCCGCAGGAGAGCCGGCCGCGGGGAAGCCTTGGAAGGCTGTGGGGGGAAAGAGGAGGCAGGGGGGTGCGGGCAGGGGCGGCAGCGGCAGCCGCGAAGGGAAAGGGGACTGTGTTTACTGGCATGGGCTTCGGCGGGGGTTTAAAACAGAGGACGTGGGCCTATTGATACTATTAAGACAGATGCTGACACGGCAACTCAAAGCCGTTAAAAGCAATTATGCACAACCTCCCGGACCCGCAAATTGCATCACAAGACGATCCGTGGCGTGCGTTTCTGTGTGTATGTGTGTGACCACCTGTTGTGCGCCAGGCACATAAGCCTGCCCTCTTCTTTAGGCCGCCGTTTGCGTACCAACTTGGGTTTGCGCGGTGTTGACTTTTCCTGACCCCCTCACACAAATCCCCGTATGGCTGCTCTATTAGCGCAGCACTACTGGTGCCAAGAGCCGGATGGCACCTGTTATTAGGGGCTTTCGGACAAAGCTGCTACCAGAAATCTCGCACCCGACACCCCGCGGCAACCCATGTCTTGTCTTGCGGCTGCTGCTGTCGCTCTGCCGGCTGTTAAGGCTGTAACTACAGCTGGCGCCCGGCCGCATATGCAACGCATGCCTGTAGCAACCGTTTTGACACCCCGCGCAGGGTCCCCACTGCCCACTGAATCCCAGTCCCTCGGGCGGTATTTGATGTGGGTCGGGGTCAGCTCGGGAGAGGAGGCATACGCAAATAGAGGAAGCGGCTGCTGCATGCTGCCGGCATGCATATGCTGCTGCGTGGCCCAACCGTGACCCTTCTATCCGCGTGTCCCTGTCCGCGACGTCCGCACCCTCCAATGGGTCGCCATCAGCTGCCCCGACGCCGCCCAGCTGCATGACGTCGAGCTCAGCAGCTTGCTGCAGAAGCACCACGCGCTCTTGCCGGGCGGCAGTGAGCTCCGCACGGAGGGCCTAGCGAGGGAAGAAGAGCAAGTTGAGTGGGTCAGTCAGCGGTGAGGGGACAGCGGGGTTTCTTGAAGAACGTCCGGGAAGAATGCGATGGAGGGGGCATGTGCAGGGAGTGTGTGTGTGTGTGTGTCTCGCACGGTGAATATATGTGGGGGTAACGCGCCGGTGTAGATGTTTCGCGTGGGGATGCTTGCTCCGCAGAGAGGCACGGCTCAGGCAGTGCAAGTGCTGGGAGGGAAGGTGCTAGAGGAGAGTCAGAAAGCGTGGGCATGGATTTGCGTGCATGTGCATGAGAGGGTTTTGGGGAAGTTGGGGTCTCTGGGGTGACATGAGCGCGAGGCGGCGACTGCGCATTACTGTGGTGGGAGCGATAGATTGGGCACCGGTGTGGCGTCTTAGGGGTGGCGAATGGGTCGGACTTCGGATTTGCTTTGGGATACTGAAGACGCCCTGGGCCGCGGAGCCCAGAGAGGCCGAAGGTCCGCAGCCGAGGGTTAGGGTCCCTTACCTCAAGGTCCAAGCCGCCGAATGCCATGCTTATGTTCTGGCTGAATCCTTAGAGTCTGGAGTGTAATGGAAACTGGTCAACACTCCGCACCACGGCAGGCTATGATCTGGCATTTAGGCATCGCAGCAGCATACTGGATATTCAGTGCATGTGTCTACATCTCCAGGATTTCGTGCGAAGATAAGGGTCTCTACTTGCCAAAATGCAGTGCGCATGGCCAGCAGCCTCAGTCGGTCTCATGAAAGCCACAGATATGAGTTCTTCCGCAGGACCATTAGAAGGTTGAAAGATGCATCCACTGCGAGCAAGTCAAGCAATAGTTCCTGCTGCCGTATCCGGGAACAGTACTGACAGGAAATGCAAGCCATATGCTCGTCTCACATGTTGCTCCTTTCCTGACGGAGCGATATGAATTGGGACAAAGCGGTTTTCCTTCAGCGCCATTAGTTAGGCTGGCCTAGTGGAACCCACGAAAATAGTGCAAAATAACGGAGAGCTTCCCTTGCTACGGGCTTTTGCACCGTGAACCCAATCTGTGGCACGTGCCTAGCTAGTAACAGGTGCAAGCGGGTTGTGGGCTATGGGTCTGCTGAGATGCTAATTGGCTAATAAGAACTGACCGGGAGCGTAGGACATGGGCTGCATACAAAGCAAGGTGAAAGGATTAGCAGTGAGCCAGCAATATGCATTGCCAATACGCACTTGAGGATAAAGGCGTCAATAGGATGCACGCATTTAACTGGTCGTGCGTCGCAGGGCGGCACCGCCGATCATGGGCAAGCAACTGCACAACAGCCTTCTGCATCGCTTCCTGATGATCTCTCTCCAAACGGCGGAAATGCGGCGGCGGAGCCTATGACCGCAGCCGACGCAAGTACCGTGGAGCTCGAGGAGATGCAGGAGGCACGGGATTCAGTGGGGAGTTTGCCCTGTTCATCAGTGCATGGCTCTCCCCCTGACATGGGGGTTTTGTTGCAGCAGCAACAGCGCCCTGGCTCTCGTGGAGTACAGTTTGGGGGCGTTGATATGCAAACTTTTGAATCACCTCCACCGCTTAGCGAAGAGCACAGCCACTTCCTACTTCAAAAGTCGCTTCCGCAAGTTCCGACTGCAAACGTTGAGCTGGAAACCCGGGTAAGCGGCCTGGTTGCACGGATATGCATTCTACGTGTTGAGGTGAATCATTTTGGAATTCGTAATGGTCTGTGTACAGGCTGCTGGCCTAAAGCATATCGGGTTCGGACCTCTGAAGAAAGAGAACCAGGACGAGTACTTTTGTCAAGTGGGGGGCTTCGGTGGACAAAAAGACGGTTGCTGTTATTGCATATTTGACGGTAAGAATATGTGTAGGTTTGGGTTTGCAAGGAAATGCGCATGCTGGGAACCACTATTACCTCGGCGCTCTTCCTTGCAGGTCACGGTAATTATGGTCGTGACGCGGCCCAGTTCTGCAGACAGGAGCTCCCTGTTCTATTTGATCAGGAACTGCGAAAATATTATTCTAAAGCGGCGGTGAGCTGGTCGTCCTAGTAGTGTAAACACTTGGGGTTCGCCTTCACGATTGCTCGGTGGGTACTGACGCTGCAGGCAGACGGTGTCAAGGATCCGAATGCAAAAGAACTTATCGAACCAATAATCAGCGATGCCTTCGTGGAAACAGAGCGGCGGCTCCACCAGGTATGAACGGTGGGCCCCGCCCCACCGCCGCTCTTTCCCGCAACACCATGGTCTGGATTATGACTCGAGCGGCCAGCCGAGGTCGTCACCGCGGAATTATGCTGCCTGCTTCGCAAAATGCGACGCAGGCGGGGATTAATGTATCCAGCAGCGGCACCACCGCAAGCGTGGTATTCCAGATTAAGTCAAGCGTCTGGGTTGCTGCTGCGGGCGACTCGCGGGTGCTATGCATGGCACAAGTGGACAGCCAATGGAAAGTCCAGCCCCTGACTTTGGATCATCGGCCGTCACGGAGAACGGAGAAGTACAGGTGGGCCGGGGAGTCGGCAAGCAGGGCGAGGGTGTGTGTGCTCTGGAGAGGGCCGAATCTCACCCAGGGGGTCCATCACATGGAGCAATGCATCCATTCAGTCGGGGCATAAGCACACTACGGCCGGCAGTGAGATGCGGCGGCCGGCAGCGCTGCATCCAGACCGACGGGTTCCGACATAAAAAGTCTTTTGCTGGAATGGAGTCTCAGCATGCTACGCCGTGCAGCCACCGCGGACATGTGCATCTACATGCCGACTGTGGCGCACCTTGCTGCTGCCACCTTTCCGTCCTTGAAGCGTGTGTAGGGTGTGCTGCCAAACGCTGTAGATAAATGCCCCTGTCGTGTCATGTGAAGAAGGCGTATCTGTCTGTCTGTACGCACGCGTGCAGGGTGGAGGCCGCTGGCGGTCGCGTGGAGCCGAAGAGGCTACCCAGCGGGAAAACCGTGGGGGAGCCACGCCTATGGTTGGCGCACCTCCCAAGCCCCGGCCTGTTGCTTTCACGTTCGATCGGGGACGACATGGCAACATCTGTGGGCTGCACGGCGCGGCCAGAAATTACGTTCATGGCGCTGCGACCGTTTCTAGGTGCACTAGTGGTAGTTGATTTGGGTTGGGATTTGGGTTGGACACCGCCGAATCCTTGCAGGAGGGACTGAGAGTTACCAGGAAGGGTTGTCGAGAATGGGGAAGGACGCGGCCACGGTTCAGGTGGCAAACCATTGAGCATAGTCAGGGTATCATCACACTAACAGGAGAAGGTTGGAAGCGGGAAGAAGCAGGAAACAAAAGCAGACGGGTGGGGTCATTCACTGCTCTAAATGCGCTGATGCTCATGAATACCGCGGTGGCGAGAGGACCCGGGCATTACGGAAGAACCGTCAGGTCAAGGCTGGGGATTGAAGAGTGGCAACCCGACCCGGGCCAGTGTGTGGCCGGGCGCCCCGCATGACATAATGAGAGGGTTATTCCTGCACACTCTCGAACCATAGTGTGCGAGATAACAGCCATGTACTGGTGTGCATGCCGCGGCCATTCTCAGCCTTCTTGAATTCCCGACAGGGGGTTTGCTGCTTGCCCACACTGTCCCATCTTACACACACGTGCAACCCCCGCTTCTTTCGCTTACTTCGCGCAGATCAATACATTGTGATTGCATCGGATGGGGTGTGGGACGTGCTAAGCAATGACACGGTGGCGCAGCTCGTGGGCGATGCAGCAGAGCCGGAGGCAGCCTGTCAGGCGGTTCTAGAAGCGGCCCTGCTGGAATGGGAGGAGCGCCTCGCTGCAGATAACATCTCGATCATCGTGAGTTCTCTGCCGATGCTTCCAAATGTGTCCTTAGTCATTTGTTTCCCCTTTCCTGTAACTCGTGCGTGTTGTGAAGTCGTTTTGCTGCCCTCGCCGAGCACCGGTGGGGAGCGCCCCTCATTGCGGGCGCTGGGTTGCAGAGAAGCGGGGGGTTTTGTGCGGCGGCCTGGTGCTAATTGTCTTAGCTTTTTGTTCCTTACGGTGATGCTTGCGGTCACAGTTAAGCGCGTCGTGCAGTCAGTTTCTGTAATGCCCCACATTATGACTTTTTCCATCGGTACTTTCCCTCGTCTTCGTTGAGCTAGTAGGGGCGAGCAGCACCCGATACGCACAACCCACACTACGCGCGCTCTATGGCTGACCCGACCATCTGCGGCGATTGTTGGCGGGGCCCCAAACCTTGGCTTCCTTCCAGGTTGTGCAGCTGGTCTGGGGCGACTTGCTCGCGAGCAATGGGTCAAACACTGGTTTCCGGAGCGCAAATGCCTCCTCACTCCAGTCGCAGCAGGGCCGCCGTGCGCTGTCGCCGGCGAACAGCGGCTTGACGCAAGCGGAGCCCATTGGTGAAGCGCTCCGGGAGGACGGGAGCAATGGGGTTCCGTCCCCGGATCAGCAGGCAGCGGGCGCTGCGCAATGACATCGGTCGAAATGCAACGATAACGGGGTTTAGGTGATGGGCGGATGGGTGAATATTCATGGATGCGAGGTGCGGTTGATGCCTGACTGCATTAGTGGCCGGGATTGTTTGCATGTTGTGGTAACCATGCGAACGGGGCTGTATGAGTGCGTGCGTGCGTGCCCAGCTTTGGCATAATTTGTAACACGGTGCCAAACACAAGTAGAGAGGTCGAAGCGGTGTGCTGGGATGGAGGGTCGCTGGCGGGCCCCTGGGGCGCTGGTTCAGCGCCGGCGGCTTGTGCGGTTGGGTTTTGTAAAACGATGTGAGCTTTCTAATGACCTCTGCCATTCTGCGCTGCGCTGCAACTATTTAAGGAGGACGCAGCCTGTTTATGCCTTCTATCGAAATGCGCGTGTAGTGTACAGCGTGGGAGGCCTTACGGGTTCGCCGCTCCATGGTTGTTGGAGCAGTGACGTCACGGGCTGTACGGGCTGGCGCGATGGTAGCGAGGCAGCAATCGGTTAGGTGCGGCAGTGGTGCGGCGTGGGAGCGCTGTGTGTGGGCAACCGCAATCAAGCTGACAACAATCCTTCAATCGGAACTCAAACCGAGACTTTTGTCCATTTTGTTTGTTAAGCGTCTGCTTTCTGACACACTCTCTTTCTCTGTCTGGTGCACCCATAGCGGTACGGCATGTTGGACGTTTGTATGAGATCAGGCATTTGGACCGCTAACAGTTGTTTGTGTGATCTTGGTACGGGCGCGCTGCGGAGCCCCTGGAAGGACATGTGATGTCGTAACTGAGGTATGCCTTTTTTACGAGGTGCCGCTCGTGTGTCAGAGGCGACGATGGCTCGTGGATTTGTTAGGTCATGGCAGAAAGTGTGATCGAAATGGTTTTTAAGGCGTAATCCCTTTGGCGCAGCCTTGCTCCTAGCTTGTCGAATGAACGGGGTAGACCGGACGATGCATATCAATTTTCCGTTTTGTGCTATGCAATGTGTGATGGCGAAGGGAGGATGGCGCTATGGAGGCTCCGTCTGGTGAATGTGGGCTAGCGTGGCTTCCCTATGATGAGGGTGGTGGTTGGAAGGGTGGTTGGAAGCCGTTTGGACGTCGGGTACGCAAGAACGACACGTCCTTTGCTACTGCCGTGACACAACTGGGAATGTCGAAGTATTTAAATGATTTTAGCTCGAATTATTTTTCGTCAGTGTATCCTTGGATAAGCGGACTACCCTGTACAGCAGTGGCTTCGGCGCCCATAGATTTCCTCAGCCTCTTTAGCTGTGTGCCGAAATGTGTCCCTTGCTATTGGCGCAGAGCCATGACCCGGAGTCTCAGCTTAAGTACTATAACCAGGTACGTAGGAAGCTTTCTATTTTACGTAGGAAGCTCGAGTATAACGGTACTGCTGGCGGCGCAGGTACTTCGCGATGCCGAAGCATCTTCGCTTGATATAAATTTAGAGGTAGTTGGAAAAGGAAAAGGTGTTGTCGCGTCGCGCAACATCGACGAGGGCGTGACAGTCTTCACCGAGCGGCCCTTGGTGAGATCGTGACCACCGCAGGCGTGGTGAGATTGGCATCATCGATGTCGGGCAAGTCATAACAGAAGTCCTGGCGCGCTGACGAACAGTTACGTTGAAAATTTATTGGAGTATACAGACTTAGGGTTTGTAAATGCTTCGCAGGTGAACTTGCAGCACCTTGACAATCATGCTAGTGCCATCGTATGCCAAGCCTGCTTACGCTATGTTGGTAAGAAAGGCAGTCCATGAAAAGCCCCATACTTTGGCTGTTCCACCTTGAAATAAGATTTCGCGCAGGATCTATTGAGCTTCAAATCGGGCACAAGCTGCGTTCTTTGGTGGATCAGCTGCGTGGGGCAGAGCAAGGTGGCGCTCATGCAGAGAGCGGCGGAAGCGCCGGCGATACCGAGGATGAGGTCGACCTGGACGGTGCCTTGGAGGCTGGCGAGCGACTGGAGCAGGTGATGCTAGGATGTCGAATTGATCGGTTTCATCGCAACCGCACATTGCACAGCCGACCATTAAATCGATTGCTTGGCGGATGCAGCCGTCAGGTTGGCTCCAACTTCGGTCCAACTTTGCCGCACCGAGCTTGTTGGGGTCGTCTCAAGTTTGGGAGGAAATGATGCGAGAAAAGTAAAAGGTTTGAGGCGGCGCCAGCTCACACCCTTGGTTGCCAGGCGAGCCGCGGCTCTCGGCAACCCTGTGCGCTCAAGAGCCCTCAGTCACCCTGCCCCAACCCCCAGCGGCTCCCGCTCCGAGACCCGAGTGGCCGCTGTCGCAAGGGTAGGGACACGTGCTCCCGCTCGCTGGTGGTGCAGTGGAGGCAGGACCAGTGCCCGCGTGCACGCCGTTTTGCAACCTGCATGTACTGCCTCAAAGCGGCACATTTGCTTGGGAGCAGACGGCGCGCGCACACGCGCGCCCGGCGGCCGACACTCGCACTTGCCGGCGAGAGGCACGGCCATGTCCCCGTACGGCGCCAGCGGCAGAGACAGCTGGCACCAGCGCGTTGTCGGACGGCCGGACAGCAAACCCTGAGTGGTTTTAGCGCGGGGTTACGCATCCGCCCGAAAGGGCGGTTGACGGGGTCGCGGCGCCTGCGTCTGGTGAATCACTGGGTTACTGGCTGGCGTCAAGTCGCATGACATCAAAAAGGCCGAACTGATCCTCCTCTATAACCTCTTGACACTTCAGCTCACGGCAATTTCAAGCTCCTCATTAGAACCTGAAATCAGATACTGGAGTCGTACCTTGCCGTACGTTGCCTTTCAAAGGCTGCCTTGTGCATCTGTCAGTGTGTGGAGCAGCAGCAGCAGTAGCTGCTGTGACAGCCACCTGGCGTACCTCCGTACACTCCGCCGCGGCGTTTTTCCTTCCCCATGCGCTCACGGTCTCCAGTACCACGCGCACTGCTGCTGTGTGTGTTTGAACCTCGCACATCACGCCTGGGTTTTGGGTCCCGTGGTCCTCCCGATGTTGTCCTTGTTGTGTGTTCTGTGATGTGATGCAGATCTATGCCCACGTGACGCCCGAGCGGATTGCGGAGCTGTGCTCAGGTGCCGTAACGCTGCCACTGACGGACGGCTTTCGACTTCCGAAGCCGGTACGTCGTGTCGGCTGTGGTTTCGGGGGTATGGGCACCCGTGCGGCAGCACGGCTGCCAATGAAACGCACTCGTTGGATACCAATGAGCGGTTACCCTCATTGGCACACCTGCGGCTTCCACGCCGGCCCCCTAAGCGTGTTGATGATGATGATGATGATGATGATGATGCCGTATCACCCGAGAGATATGCATGACTTGCTTAGGGGGATTGGTTGAGTTGCTGTGAAGGTGTGAAGGTTGCGGAACGACACCACGCATGGTGGGATACAGCACCAGAGGTACTAGGCTAGTTTTTGTTAGCGAACGGCCAAGTCCCTTGCTTCGCTACAGTAGAGCTGCCGCGCGCGCATTTGTGGTGCAGATGCCTTGCCGCCGCGGCTGCGGGGCGTTGTACTGCAGCGCCGCCTGCGAGGCGGAGGCCTGGGAGCACTCGCATTGCCTGCTGTGCACAGGCACGCGCACGTCCTCATCACCCTTAGTGGAGCTTAAAGCCGAGCGTGAGGCAGAAGCAGAGGCTGGGCCCGAACCCGGCCCGTCTTCAGCCGGGTCGTCGGGACCCAGCGCTGCCAGCCTTTCCACATACGTTGAGCCCGCGACGGCGGCGCCGGCGGAGGCGGCAGACGTGGAAGAGCTGTACGGCATCCGCGTTGACCGCCGCGCTCTGGTAGCGTTTTGGGAGCACGCTAGGGAGACGAACGAAATCTTCCTGTTGGCAGCGCAAGTGGTGGTGTCGACGTTGCTGCGAGCGGCGAGGCTCCTGGCTGGTGAACAGGGAGGGGGGACTCCGGCGGCGGCTGACGCTGAAGCGGCTGGAGGAGGACAGCAGCCAGGTCAGCAGCACACGGAGGCAGCGGGGACGCAAGCAGGGAGTTCTTCAGGGGCCGCCGGCCCGTCTGACGCATACCGGTCAGCGCTGCTGGCAGCGTGGCAGCCGTACATGTACGGTTGGAAGCGGTGCTGGTGGGATTCAGTTGCAGTACCGGATGACGTGGATGACGAGGAGGAGTTTCGCACACAGCTCAAGTAGGTGTCGGTGGTGCCTGTCGGTGGTCTGGTTCTGCTTGGGGGTGCTGCGTGGGTGACGTCCGGGATGTGAACTACTACTACACACTTTGCATGTGTGGGCTATATAGGCTGGATGGGCTGCGAGGTCCGTAGGTGAGTATGTGGAATGGTGAAACGGATAACGTGAAGACGGGCAGGTCAGCAAGTTACAAGTGCTCAGCACACGTAGGGGGCTGTCCGTCAGAGCCCCTGACTGGGGCCCCATGGACTGGTTAGTGGCAGGCATGGTCCGACTCGGGTAATACTACGTAAACCCACATCAGCACTAATACTACGTCAGCTCACACACCACGCTCGCAACGGTCGCTACGTCAGCACACAAATGAATTCTACATCAGCTAGAAGTCAGCCGTCTTAATGCTGTACATCAAGAGGAAGAGGTGGAAGATTGGTTTGTATATGCGGCGTTTGGGCTCGCCCCCGGACTACAGCCTCGATGTGTTTCCCCAAGTCAAGGAGAACGGGGCGAACGGAGAACGGGCCCGCAGCACCCCAAAACATGTCCCTGCTGCAGCCTATACAGACCTACCGTTCAAATACGCATAGTCACCAACGTGGCCTGGTCCGCGTGTGGATACATCCACCGCCTCTTGAGTTGAGCTCCGGCACCTCTACACCTCTAAAACCCGACCTGTGGTTTGCTGCAGATCTTTGGCATCAGATTCCCTGGAGCTTCTGTCAGCCGCCATTAGCGACCCGCGGTTTGGTCCGGAGCTGCTGCAGCTCGAGGTGGGGGTGGAGAGAGAGGAGAGAGAGAGACAGAAAAGGGTTGGATGCTGAGCTGTGTGCGTGTGCGTGCTTTTAGTAATTACGCGCACCGTGTCCTGAAAGCAGCAATCATAGCGTTCATTGCACCTACTGCGCCGCGCTTTATGTTGTGTTAACAACAGTGCATCATGCTCCGACTTTCAAATCGAAACGTGAAAAATGTACTTGATCATGTTCGGTGTGTTCACAATCTGCATAGGTGTACGGCAGCATTGTGGGAATGTTTGAGCTGAATAACATGGGCCTGAGCGTGCCTTCCCCTGTGGAAGATTACTTCCTGGCTGTGGACGAGATGGAGGAGGGCGCGGAGAAGCAGGCTGTGCTTCAGGTAAGACGATGTGAGGTTGGGATGCATTCATTCATCCTGCTTTCACCCAAAAACGTCCTTTTTCCGTCCCGCGTAGGGTTGCCTTGTCTATCAATCCGAATCATGTATTAGTCTGTAGTACAAAATGAAAGACAGCTCACCCGCCATGACGTCGGCTCGTATATGGACCTCTGCCTGCTGCACATGTCCGCCTGCCTGCCCTGAAACCTTTTGCAGATCACTCAGCCGCTGCTGGACGCGCTGGATTCGGAATACGCGAGCCCTTGTGAGTCAACCGCCTTCCTGGCTCTGCAGGTGTGTGAATGGGAGGGTGGTGGTGGGGCGGAGGTACTGAGGGAGGGAGGAAGAAGGGCGTCCTGTGGTCTTTGGGGGACTTTTGACCCGACAGTCTTTCTTGAGCCGCCCGGGCCTCTCCCCCGGCACCTCTTCGGTCGCAACCTGCACACCGCTGCTTCGCTCTTCTTCGTCCTCCTCTTGATGGATGTCCTATGTAGGTGCCTGCCATCGTTGTCCTGCTCCTCAACCCAGTCCGCCGCGCACCTTGCCGCAGCCATTTAAGTGCGCTGCCTTGGCTCTGCTGCTATATCCAAGGCCCCAAAACTTGCATAACGTTAGGGCCTCGCTTCGCTACTGTGCCTTCGCTGCCATTATTAACAAAGATCTGCAGACAGTAGCAATACCTTTTTCCTTACGATTGTGTTTCAAATGTGTAAAAACATCAAATTCCTGCCCCCACCCCAGAGCTGCATCAACCACTCGTGCGACCCGAACTGCACCGCCGTCTGCGATACCGGCGACCGGACCGTCACCGTCCTGGCTCAGCGCGACATCGCCGCCGGCGAGGAGATCACGCTGTCGTACATTGACGTAACGTTGCCGTACAAGGAACGCCAGGCCGCGCTGCGCGATTACGGCTTTGTGTGCCGCTGCACTCGTTGCGTGGCGGACGCGGCGGCGGCACGGTCAAAGCGCCAGGGCGGCGCGGCGAAGGGGTTTAAAGTCGGTCGGCGGCGTTAGCTTTTCGGCAGTGTGTTTTTCTGAAAATTTGTTGTCTTAGAGCGCTGTGCTGGGACGGTAGGCACATAGTCTTGAAAGTGGCGGTAGCTGGTTGGTAATGGCCAAAGTTGCCGTGTCGTGCCGTGTTTCTGTCGACAAGCGTTTCACGGTTATTCATCTTTCCGCGCCTCGGCCCAGTATGCCCCCAATATGCAACGTCTCCGTTGATGAAAAGGGGGGGAAAACGGGACCGGGGACCCGTCACCACCATCGCAGGGGACCGCGGGAGCACCTAGGGAGACCCACAGCCGCAGAGCCCGCCGTCGTCAGCATGTACGAAAACGGTAAAAGGGATGAAGCGCTCTCAGCACTGTTACACGAGGAGCGTTATCCGAGGCGAAATGGCACAATATATTTATGTAAGGTATACCCGAGCTACACTTCAACAAGGGTGTCGAAGAGGAGGAAGGAGGAGGGATATGGCTCTTGCAATGTTTAAGAGGCGTAACTACACCTTCCCCTCCTCCCAAGCCCGAGGGGCCCCGGCTCAGTCCTCTCGAGGGCAGCAAAACGTATGTCCGATAGGAAATGGCAATGCGCTCTGGATCCTCTTCCGGCGCTCTCACTCATCCCCCACTTGCCGCCGGCTCCCTGTCACTGCCTCTACTGAACAACTACATACGCCATCATCATCATCGGGAACGCACATCGGAAACACACAAGAGCTCCAAAATGTGTGACCCTGTGAGAGCCTGTGCTGCTGGACCGCTGCGAACTGCCTTTACGGAATTTATTTCACGGAATCCGCCTGGGCCGGACACCGTGTTGCCTAGAGGGGCAGAGAGGAGCTTGTGGCAACAATGTTGTGTTCATCGACCCAATGCAGCTCATCGCCAACAGCCCCAGGATAATCCGCTGCCGTGGCCGCCGCCAGCCTCGCCGTCGCTGCTCTCGCCGATGTCGTCACCGCTGCTGCGGCTGGTGCTGCCGTCACTGCCACCGCCAGAATATGCGAGGTTTACCCACATATTGCCGTCCATCTCGTCACGCTCGTCATTGTCCTCGCGCTCCTCATCTTCGCTGTCGCTGAAAATCACGCCCTGGTGGCCGACATCCATGGTGGACTCTGCGGCGTTTCCCGGGGCCATCGCTGCTGACGGCGCTCCGCCGCGTACCCCCGGCGGCCAGCGGCTGCCGCCGTTCCCGGGCCCGGCCGCCGCCGCCAGCGCATTTCCCTCTCCCCTGACACGTACGGAACCGATAGCAGCAGCGCTGCTGCCGCAAGCACCACCATGACTTGCGGGTCGGGTCGTACTGGCGGGGTCACCGCCGGCTGCACGAATAGTGCCGTCGGCCAGGCCCTCGTTGTTAGAGGCGGGCGCAGTACTGTCGACCTGTCGTCTGGCTGCCGGCGGCGTCGCAGATACACCGCCGCCACCGCCGCGAACCCTGGACGCCGCCGCCTCCAGCAAGTCCCGCAGTGTCGGTGCCATCCACAGCGACCTGGCTAACAGGCCCCTGGACTCGCCGCCACCGTCGCCGCCGCCACCAGCAGCTGCCTGGGCGGTGTCGTTGCCGCCCCTGCTGTCCCCGTCACCGTCCGTTGCGCTCGCCGGCTCGGCAGTGCTGCTGCGACGCCCCATTAGCGCCGCCGGCGTCGCAGGGGTCGCCGGTCCAGTTCCTGCAGCCGCCGTCGCCGTCGCTGCCTCCTGGCTGCTGCCCCCGGCGTCGGGTCCTCCCGCTGAAGGCTCCGTAACACCGGCAGCTGACGGCAGCGCCAGCAGTCCCGGCACCGAGCGTGCCGCCAGGTGGCTCCCCATCCGGGCCACCGCCGCCCCCGCCGCCGCCGCCCCCACCGCCGCCCCATCGAATTCCTC